TAATTCGTTGCATTGCGGGATCATAAGAGATGCTGATGGTGGTGGATTCCTTCGTCCAGAATCTATTTGCACAAGTATGTTTATCAATAAATTTAGGAATTATTGCAGTTACATTTTTTATGACAGCTTCAGCCCTGTTATGGTTCCTTCTGTGTTTTATTTGTTTTCATTCGCTTAAATATACAAACTGACACGTACTGCAAAACGTGACCATTAATCGACCAAATTATTAAATACTCCAAGCTGTGTACATTGGCATTCAATGCAATAACAACAATGTTCTGTTCTTTGTCACTATACTGCTCGATGAAGGCCTTCCCACTCTGTGTTGGTCACAAGGGTTTTTAACCATACTTCACCATGCCGGTCAGTTTGGATTGGCCATGACGGGTTCTGATATTGCGCACTTTTGATGTCAGCCAGGGTCAGGAATTGAAACTCAGGACACCAGATTCATAGCACATTCTGTTAACCACTAAGCCACCACTTCCTCCAACAGCGCAATATCGTACCATAATTTAGCAATGAACAAATTTAACAAATAAAAACCCTACTAGAACGATAAGTTATCTTCAAAACAACATTCTGAAAAGTATATATATAAACAACTTTAAGCCGTGCTCAACCGACCAATAGATGAATGTCAGACATGGGGTTTTTAAATCCTTTATATTAAGTTCACTTGCTTGCGCGCTTATGACCGTGCAAATCTTTCGGTCGTTTTTTAACCCACTTCCCGTGATCCAATCGAGCTGACATTTTCCACACAGACTCGTTGTGCGTGACAATTAATTTTCGTGAAAAATGTTTTCCAAAATTTTACACTTTTTAGGAAAATAAAAATTATATTTAATTACCAATTGCTTAATGGTGGCAGGCAATCATCTGACCCATAGGTGGCAGCCATCTCAAGCCAGAGGACGAGAGGACTCTAGCCGCCACGCATATAAAGGATTTATAGTGAAAAACTGTGTTTTTACGGGTTAATTTTTTTCAACCATAACTCACTACGTTGCAGGTTGGTGAACTAATGTTAGCCATGGTTGGGAATTGAACTCGGGATTACTAGTTTACAGTGCAGCGTACAGCAATTCTAAAAAAGTAGGCCTCCATATTTTGATTTTGGGGGTTACATAACCGTGGCCGTCCTATGCAATAAATTCAACTCTGCAGGGAGTGTTTCTTATTGTCTGGATTAATAGCGCAGCTGCCAATCAATTCCAAATGAGATTCCACTCACAATAGACCCCTACGTAAACTGCCATTCAAATTGGCAGTTACCAAATCCAATTTTAACCACAAAGGCAATATAAACAGGTCAAGTGTCAAAATTCTTCATAAACTAAGGGCTAACCAATGTGTTTTCTTGCCTTGTCTTGGAGCCAGGCAGACGTAGAGTTAAAATGCACACCAGAAGGGCAATTCTAAAATCCCCATCCTGAAATTGCTTGGGACTAAAGGCGGGGTAGTGGACACACCCGACATCAAAAAGGCTACGACAACGTAACCATTCGAATAAATATAGTTTGCTTTCGTTAAACCGCTGCCACTCACTATTACGTAAAATTATACAGATTGTGAAACCTATCCCCGAAATTACACCTACTGTTTATTAAAATATATTTGCCAGTATCAAAGTATGAACAAATATTCTTTGGGTCTTTCGGTAAAGTCATGTAGATAGAAAGAAAAAAAATCATAGAGACAAAAGTAACAACTAACATCGGAAGGTGGTAGGCTGGGGACATCACAGCCCATTATGGCTTAAACTGGTTAATAACGTCCTTCCAATGATTGCTCAGTTTGTACCCATCTTCTCGGTTGAAATTGTGTCTGTGTTTATATATCTGGATGGCTTCATGAACGTATCTTTGCTGATAGCCAGTGGGTTTGCAGAGTACCTTCGTCTTGGAAAAATATATTTCGTATGTGCCCACAGCATTAAAACAATGATCAGCCACGGCTGATGTATTGGTCCTACCGTGTTTCAGATCTGCCTTATGTTCACAAACACGGTCCGAGACATGTCGCTTAGTTTCCCCAATGTAACTACTGCCGCAGACACAACTTAGTTTGTAGACGCCGGGGTATTGCATGTCAAGGATCACATCTTTCACAGATGGGATCAGATCACGAATTTTACGTACTGTGTTGAATCGAACCTGGATCTTGTGCTTGCTCATGATTTTGGAAATCTCTTTGGTGACCCCTGCTATGTATGGCAAGGTGATGGTTTTGATTGGGTCCTCAGATGGTTCTTTCCCAACGGTTGGGGTGATAGCTTTACGGAGTGTGTAGTCCGAAAATCCATTCATCTTGAGGTCTTGGTGTACATGTTCCAGTTCACTGGCTAGGTGATGATGGTCGGAAATACATCGAGCTCTATGGTGTAGAGTTTTAATGAGGGAATTCTTCTGGGATGGATGGTGGTGGGAGTCAGGTTTAGGTAGGCATCCATATGGGTGGCTTTCTGTAGACAGAGTTTCCCATTGAGCCATCTGGTCTCTTTTCGATAAAAAAATCCAAGAATGGTAACTTGCCATCCTTTTCCACCTCCATGGTGAATTTGATGGCTGGGTGTATGGAATTGATGTGGTTGAAGAATTGGCCCAGAGCTGGTAGGTCATGTGGCCAGATGACGAACGTGTCATCTACGTACCTCTTCCACAAGGAAGGACGTAGGGTGGATGCCTGGATGACATCTGTCTCAAAATTTTTCATGAAAAACATTGGCTACAACCTGAGATAAGGACGAACCCATTGGGGTACCTTTAACTTGTTTGTAGAATGTTCCATTCCAGGTGAAATAAGTGTTGGTGAGGCAGTGTCTAACCAGGGCCGGTACATCAGCATTCAGTCCTTGTTGGACCAAATCTTCAATTATTGCAATGGTGTCAGGCACAGGAATTTTCGAAAACAAAGATACTACATCGAAACTGACAAGCAGTTCACCTGGAGATAGTGAGATGTCCTTAATTAAAGATACCAAGTGAGCTGAGTTAAGTACAGCTGAGGTGGTCTTACCAGTGAATGGTTGTAAGGTCTCAGATAGAAATCGGGCCAGTTTGTAGGTGGGTGAGTTAATGGTGGAGACGATAGGATGAAGTGGTGTACCTTCTTTATGGAATTTTGGTAAGTCATAAAATCTGGGTGGACTAGCAGCAGAGGGTTTTAAGGTAAGCCACTTGGTTGGTTCGATTAAAGATGTTGAATCAGTGATTATATTGCTGGTTTTCGTAACAAGGCGGTTGGTGGGATCTCTATTGATTTTGGTATAGTTACCATCATTAATTAGGTCGGCTGAGAGGATGACGATGTCATCTCTCTTTGAGAAAGCTCAAATCTTGACTTAGGGGCCGTCCATAAATGACGTCATGCGATTTTTGACGATTTTTGACGATTTTTGACACCCCCCCCCCCCCTTCGTCACACGGCGTCACAAAAAGTCAGACCCCCCCCCCCCTCAAATATGACGTCACAAAGCTCTGCTCCCCCCCCCCCCCCAAAAAAACATGCTTCAAATCGCTTTAAACTATTGTCAATGTAGTGCGTATTTAATGTGCCGCTGCACTCTGTGGTAAGAGAAAACATTTATTAGAAAGTCTATTTAATTAAGTAGAACGTGTTGTCTATATTTATTGAAAGCTGCGCATTTTGATGTGACGTCACATTTCTCAAACCAACCCCCCCACCTTCGTCACACATCGTCACAAATGTCTGACCCCCCCCCCCTCCCCAGGTGCGTGACGTCATTTATGGACGCGTCCTTATACATGCACATTATATTGGTAGGAACCCACTGGTTCCACCAGCCCACAGGGGATTATTGTGTCCGTCCGTCGTGCAGGGAGGGGCTGGGTGGAGAGGGGAGGGGCTGGGTGGGGAGGGTGGGGAGGGGCTGGGTGGGGAGGGTGGGGCTGGGTGGGGAGGGGCTGGGTGGGAGGGGTGAGGCTGAGTGGGGAGGGGCTGGTCACCCCGTGGTGCCCTTATAAAACTCAACGTTTAACCTACTCACGCCGGCTTGTGCCTGCCCTCACAGTCGGGCATATTTGCGGAATACACCACGCCGCCGTTGACCCTGGTCATTGACCGAGCAACCCAACGTTCCTACCAGCTCCCTCCGCAGGAATGTGTTGTATGTCCACTACCTATGACCAACCTACTGCAATGCCCTTTGGCGCGTGGTTTATATTTTTGTGTGTGGCTAAAGCCAACGCGTTAAACAGACAGACATCGTCGTCGTCTAGATTTGAAGCTTTCGTGACTGCAAGGATTCATACTCTTAGGTTTTTTCGGTAAAGTCACGTAGGTAAAAATAAATAAAATAAAAAATGATATTTTATTTGAATATTTAATTTCTATTATTTCCATTATTTATTGTTATTTTTATATGATTTATTGTTATCATTAGTTTGTATTTTTAAATCCTTTATATTAAGTTCGCATACTTGCTTGCTTGCGTGATTGCGTTCTTGCTTGCTTGCTTACGACCGTGCAAATCTTTCGGTCGTTTTTTAACCCACTTCCCGTGATCCAATCGAGCTGACATTTTGCACACAGACTCGTTGTGCGAGACAATTAATGTTCGTGAAAAAAAATTTCCTAAATTTTACACTGTTTAGGGAAAACAAATTAAATATTTAATTACCAATTGCTTAATGGTGGCAGGCAATCATCTGACCCATAGGTGGCAGCCATCTCAAGCCAGAGGACGAGAGGACTCTAGCCGCCACGCATATAAAGGATTTATAGTGAAAAACTTTGTTTTTACGGGTTATACTTATTTATTGTTATTATTAATTTTTATTATTTATTTTTACCTACGTGACTTTACCGAACAAGCCTAAGAGTATCATCATCGTCGTCGTCGCCACCGTTGGGGCCTCTTCTCACCACGTGCGCTTCCATCGGCCCCCCCCCCGGTGACCCCCCCACGTGGCCACCGGTGACCCCCCCCCCCCCCCCCACGTGGCCACGTGCGCCCCCTCGTGGCCAGGACCCCCGCACTGCCGCGGCCACCGGCGGCGTCGTGCAGCGGCCGCCGTCGCCTTAGCCCGCGAAAAAGTCGAGAGAGCCAAAGGCAGCAAGCGGGCAGACGACAGCCGTAGCAGCAGCAGCAACGAAGGACCACAACAACCACCACCACCACAACCACCACCCTTCTCCACACCTCAGCAGCGATGGCTTTCGGCCCACAGGTTCCCGCCTACTACACGAGTCTGCTGGTGGGTGGACGGCGGTGTCTCCTCGCCTGCCAACCCGGGGCGTCCTCGCTCGCTCTCGGTTTCACGGTCATCTACGTACGGCGGTGGTGGTGGTAGTTGTGGTTGTTGTGGTGGTGGTTGTGGGATTCGCCGCTCGTGGCGGGCTCCGCTGCGTTGCGGCCTACTGCTCGGCTCGTCGTTGTTGGTGAAGTCGAGGCGGGGAAAGGCTGTAGTTGTAGCGGTAGCGATGATGATGTTGTAGCGGTAGCGATGATGATGTTGTTGATGATGATGTTGTTGATGATGATGTTGATGTTCAATCACTTGTCAGTCTGTTGCTGAATGAGTGGGGCGCCTGCCTCTTCACCCCCCCCCCCCCCATCGCGTGTGTTGTTTGACCATACTTCACACTTCACCATACTTCACCACACTTCACCACACTTGACCATACTTCACACTTCACCATACTACACCACACTTCACCACACTTCACCATACTTCACCACACTTCACCACACTTGACCATACTTCACACTTCACCATACTACACCACACTTCACCACACTTCACCACACTTCACCACACTTGACCATACTTCACACTTCACCATACTACACCACACTTCACCACACTTCACCATACTTCACCACACTTCACCACACTTGACCATACTTCACACTTCACCATACTACACCACACTTCACCATACTTCACCATACTTCACCACACTTCACCACACTTGACCATACTTCACCATACTACACCACACTTCACCACACTTCACCACACTTGGGCCCTGGCCTGGATTCCAACTCGGGTGGGTGGGTAGGAGTCGCGCAGTTCATCGCGCTAATACGTATTGTTCGCGTGGCGATAACTTTGTTGTTAATCATCACAATGGCAGTGATCACTGATAACGTGTGGTGGTGGCGGTGATGATGATGGTGATAATAGTTGAGGGATATGGAAATCGTGAAACTGTGGAGTTCTATCCGAGGCCGCGTGTGGATTGGGCCCAAAGCACATTGCAGTGGCGTTAGTCGGGGCCCTGTACTAATTTATAATCTGCTAAATGTTTGTAACAATATCACTTACAACGCTTAATAGTGACGCAGCGCCCGAGTGTAATTTCTCATTATTGAAACATCAAACTCTTTGGGCAGCCCGTAGGGGTACAACCCGTGTGTGTGAGTGTGTGTTGGTCGTGTATTTACAACATTTGGCTGATATTTGAACCGGTCACGGACCATCCCCTAGGTCGACTCGGCCTTAAACGAGTATCTGGTGCGGTGTGTAAATAGCAGCACTGGGGAGATACAAAGACGACCGGGCGTGGTGTTGGCCACCCACCCCCCCCCCCCCCCCCCGCGTGTGCCATACCGGCCTTCATATTGGCGGCATGATCGCATGCAATATGCCCCAACAGTCCTGTCAATGCGATGTTGGTGCCACTGAGTATGAGAGCTCGGGGCAAGCATCTACACTATGATGCTTGCCCCGAGCTCTCATACTCTGATGGTGCATTGTCCTTGAGTTGTGCGCCTTTTGGCGTCATCTGGTCCAACCCATATGAGACTAGGCTCGAAGGAAAGCTGTCTCGGGTGTGGACCAATCAACTTCAGGGACATTGCACATTATCAGAGTTATGTCTTTTGTTTGTATTTATGACTGCAGGTATTGCGGTCTATGCAAACACGACTCCTTGCAAAAAGGTGTCAGTTTTGTTGCCAGATAGAAGGGTAAAGAACCAATTATCATATTTTTACTGGCAAATGAGGTCCCCATAGTGTAGATGCTTGCCCCGAGCTCTCATACTCTGATGGTGCATTGTCCTTGAGTTGTGCGCCTTTTGGCGTCATCTGGTCCAACCCATATGAGACTAGGCTCGAAGGAAAGCTGTCTCGGGTGTGGACCAATCAACTTCAGGGACATTGCACATTATCAGAGTTATGTCTTTTGTTTGTATTTATGACTGCAGGTATTGCGGTCTATGCAAACACGACTCCTTGCAAAAAGGTGTCAGTTTTGTTGCCAGATAGAAGGGTAAAGAACCAATTATCATAGTATAATATACTTGGTACAATATACTGATACAGATACAGTGTATGTAGTACACTGGTATGTGCAGGCTTTGCATAGAGTACTTGATCAAAGTTGGGCATTTTTGACAATATTGGACGACATGTCAAGACAATTTAATAAAAGATGTGGGTAATTATCGGTACAGTTATTAAGTGGATTTTGAGAATAGTTACGTTAACAAATTTGATTAGTAATTTGGATATAAATAATTTGTCCAACTATCTTGATAAGGGAGAAATGTGCATAAAATACCATGTACTCATCGACGCTGGGATGATCATGGTGCATTCAGTTTCGTTTGTATGCAAAAACTGTAACATTCCATAAATAAGGCATATTTTTCAAAAACTTTAGGTAATTACTTTCAAAAACTCATGATTATGGAGAATTCAACCAAAAAAAACGGCTCTTTGGAGGTAAACACATTGGTTAAGTGTGCCAGGCTCTCCGACTAATTTGAATCTTCGTTAATGAGAGAAAAAACATTCTAGAGTTGTTTTCACAAAGCCCCTCGTGTGTGCTCGTGCAGGCTCAACTGAAGGCAGAACAGGTCAACAAGCCCCTTTTTTACTGCTGTGCAGACCTCACCAGGACCATTGACGAATACACCAGCAAGGTTTGCAATCCGCCACACCAACAATACCACTGTATTATCCCTGCATGTGTAATTTGATCTGATTAGCTGGAGAATCGGTAGGCCCTGCTTTGAATTTGTATCTGGCTCTCACCTGCCTCAACACAACACGTCCACCATGAAGACGGTGCATTGAAATGATTTTTTGCATCGCGAGGCCGTGAACGATGGTAACGGCTTTCAGAAGTCATTCAGCTAGCAGTGGGGAGTGAAGATATTCACACGGCACTGCTTTTAGCCATAACTGGGAATCAAACTCGGGTTGACGGGTTAATAATGGCAGATTTGAAGCTTTCGTGACTGCAAGTATTCATATTCTTAGGTTTTTTCGGTAAAGTCACGTAGGTAAAAAAAAATTAAAATGAACCATCACAGCACGATAGCTGTAACGGTTCCACCTGAAGACGGAAGCTTGTGTTGCCTCCGAAACGTCGTGATTTAATTTTTATTTTACTTTTATTAATTTAAATTTTTTTTTACCTACGTGACTTTACCAAAAAAACCTAAGAATATAATAATGGCAGCTTTCTCATTATTGCCTGGAGGTTCTGTGAAAGTATCCCATTTTGTCCTCATCAGAGAGTCGTGTGAATGTTGTAGTGTTGTGAATATTTTAGATATGACCTATGATTGTTCTGTGGCTCCCTAAACACCAACTGGGCATGTCTGTTTGCAGGATCTTCAAGGAATATTCGAGTGGCTGGTGGCCTCCATTTTTGGAGCTGATGGCGAACCAGGATGGAACCTCCTCTACATAAAAAATAAAGAGAGTCCTACGGATTATGCAGCCGTCAATGACTTCCTTTCCCCCTGGTACTGTATCCATACAACAAAAGCAACAATAACGACACAACACATCTTACACAACACACATGTTCATTAGCAGATGCTCGCACAAAGCACGTTACCACTCCGTGCAATTTAAAAGATGCGAAGTAGTCTGACATTTTTGGCGTTCTTCAGTGTAGCATGCTGGCAGATGTAGCCCAACATACACAATTTCACGTGTGTTATTTCCAGTAAGAGTGCATATGTGTCCCTGGTGAAATGTAGCAGAAAAACCTTCCTTTTTTCACGCAAGTCTTGTTGGCTATCGCGCTGAATAGATACTGTGAATAAATAATTATCATTATGCAAATACCATTAAGCATATCTATGGGACCTTTTTGGCAGTATCCAAAATGATGAAAAACAAGAATAGGGTTTACCCTTTCCATAGATATAACTGCTCGACCCGCGCTATAAGTGTTCTGATACTTCCATTGTTTTTGTACTGTTCTAACACTGGTGAGACAAGACCATTAAGAAGAAGGCTGTCTCTGGTGTAGGCCAGTTTCATAGACAATGCATCCATCATAAAATACATCGCGACTTTTCGGGCGCAACACAAGCGTCCGTCATCAGATGACGGATCATCAGATGACAGATCATCAGATGACGGACGCTTGTGTTGCGCCCGAAACGTCGTGATTTATTTTATTTTCTATCTACGTGACTTTACTGAAAGAACCAAAGAGTATGGATTCCTGCAGGCACGAAAGCTTCAAATCAAGAATGCATATATTATTAGAGCACGTTTGTTTGCATATTTTGCCACAAGTGTGTGTGGTTAATGCAGACTTGATGCCTTTAAAAAGTATTTATTTGGTGTTTGAACACCATTTAGCAGGCACGTATTCACTGAGTGAATGTGGTACTTTTGCATTCCTCTGTGCAGTGGTGCCATGATGAGGCTGGTGTACAAACTGCAGGTGGATGATGCCAAGTTCTCCTACCAAGTGTCCAAGCTGCCGGTAAGTGATATTTTTTTTAATGAATTTAATCCATCAACAAAAGCGGAGAACAACATATACGTGTGCAACTAATGCAGATCTGAACAACATAAGCCCAGCAATGTGTTCCCATTTTCATCCTGAGTTTTTACTTTGTTGCCATGACATGTAGGGAGGGGGAGGAGGCTTTGAGTGTTTAGAATTTTTATTCCGGAGGCAAGTTGAAACATCAATCCAAATAAAAGAAACGGAATTCTAACATAGAGGGGATATTACACATCGCTCAGGAACCTTGAGGTTATGCGGGAGGTAATAGGTGAATGGGAAGGTGTAATTATTGGGGACCAGGTCTCCTGACAGGTAGATGAGTCATACCGCATTACTTAGCTTCGGTGTTGCATGAGTGATGTTAAGATATACGTATGTGACCTAACATTGCTTGTGTTTTGTCTGCACTGCAGGCTCCGGCGCGAGGCGCCCTTCAGGAGGGCCTCCTTCCCACAGAGTCGCCCCTCTATGTCAACAAACTAGTGGGCGGTGGGCTTGTACTGTCTCTCTCCCTGAGTATCCTTTCGCAGAGTTCAAAGTTCATTTATTAGGTATAGCCCTGTGAGCCATTTGGCTCTTGAATCGGGCGCAACAAACAAAAAACAAAAACATGAACAAGAAAACATCTTAAAGTGACTATGTGCAAACAGAAAATCCAAGAAAAGACAGCAAAATATTGAGAAGGACAGTGCCGATATGCACAAACACTGCATTCCTTAATAGAGTATTTTTTTGGGTTAGATCGCGTAAATATAAATGTGTCTAGGGCATTTAACAAATTGATCAACAATAATTGGAAAAGCACACTTCTAAGTGTCATTAATTATGTTTGCATCTAGAATGTGGAAGAGGTTAAGAGGTCATCATGACAATTTTGTTGATGTCACCCGACCTCACTAAAGATTATTTTGGCTCGATCGTGCAGCTGTTGCAAAGTCAACAACCCGACCTCTTGGCCCACTGTTTCAGCATCCCAACCATCTGGGTGCCACTCCTAATGCCCGGCTCATTAACATGCCCTCTTCTGCTCTGGAAAGATGCCCTACCCATTACAACATCCTCTTCCTGATTGTGTTTACAATGTGGGAGGTGGTGTAAAAGTTACGTTCTACTTAACCAGTGTGACACCAGTTGCAATTTATTTGCCACTGATTAAATGTTTTCTTCAGATTAATCGTTGCAAATGTAATTCAAGGTGTGTCCACCTGACAACAAGTTGGGGCACACCACCCTATATTTGAATTCATGAAACATTTTGACTAATAAAGGGATCGTGGTCTTCCCACTGTCACGAAAGGTCTAAATACAAGAGACCATTCGGCAAGGTGGGAGAGATTACTTGAAGGGAAAGGCATGTAAACAACCCATCATACATTCCAGCGGCAGTGTTTTATTAATGACAATGGTCAAGCCAATTGTCATGAATGTTCATATGTCTAGCCAGCTCACAGTGTGTTGGTAAGCTACTTCCACCTTAATTGCTGCCACCTTCAGATGCCTTTGAGTATTATTTATTCAGCTTCGCCAACTACCTCGTTCTACCAAAGGTGAGACTAACAGGTTCCTTGGTACATCGATTATTTTTCACAAATTCAAGTTAACATCACTTATTAAAGAATTCTGGAACTGGTACCTTGCGCCACATTTATATTTACGGGATCTAACCCAAAACATCTTTATTATTGATAATATTGGTCGTGAAAGCCTACGTGTTAAGCTTGATTTATAAATGTATGCATTAGCAGCATTGTACACTAGTACCTGCCTCGTTATTAGGCAGGTACTGGTGTATGAAGAGTGCCTGTCTAATTACTACTATGTTTAGATTAATCTTAGTACGACCAGGTCATTCGCTACCACTATGTGTTGAGTTAGGGGTGTGGTGCCTTTGTAACCCCCCAAGTGAGAAGGTTTAAGTCATAACTCGTACATGTTAGTGATCATTCCTTAAACATAGAATGTTAATGCATTATAGTTTACAGACATTTGTAAATCCACGATTAGATAAAGGCCCCTGCATCAGTTTGCCCCACCCCGACGATTTTATGAAACGTCACAATTCAGGCTTGTGATTTAATTTCAAGAATCAATTATTTTATTTTAACATTGTGATAAATGTAACACGTGGTAGCCGGCCGGTGATGTAAATCACGTGCAAATTCTTATTCTTACACGCACAATTTTGTCAATGTATCGTGAGAGTAAGACTGAATCATTTCATGCCTTATTAGCCACGGGTGCCTCGTTACCCTGCTTACCGCATCCATAAGGGAGTACCCTCCCGTGACCTGCGAGCAGCCATTGCGATGGGTGGTGTCGGTCAGAGGTCGCAAACGGGTTTTGATTCCTTACCCGTACCCGGCCGCACCAGGGTTGCAAACGGCTACCCGCACCCGGCCGGGTACGGGTAGCCGGGTATCGGGTAGGGTACGGGTATCGGGTACCCGGTTGCGACCTCTGGTGTCGGTCAACCACAACTGATGCCTACGCTTGCCCTGGCTCGCAGGCTGTAAGCTTTCCTCCTGTAATTCACAGACGTCCCTGAGCCCCCAGTACGCGGCCGGTCCCAACAACCTGTACACGGCTTTGGTGGAAGACTACCTCAAGTACTTCCTGCCGACTATGGGAAATGCACCTGCGTCTCCAACACACACTCTAACCAAGGCCCCCTCCCCGCCTAACCACAGGTGACTTTATTGTTTTGAGAGCTTTGCAGCAGAGGTCGCAAACGGGTTTTGATTCCTTACCCGTACCCGAAATGAGTGACAAACGGTGACTCACCAGTGACTCACGGCCTACCCGTAACCGTACCCGGCCGCACCAGGGTCGCAAACGGCTACCCGTACCCGTACACGGCCGGGTACGGGTAGCTGGGTATCGGGTACCTGGTTGCGACCTCTGCTTTGCAGTTTTTTTAAATGGTAATGTCCCTTTGCGGTAACGACAATAACTGGCGTATGGGCAGGTCTGTGATTTTGGACGTGCGTTTTAAATACTCTATGGATACGGGTAATCATTAGTTTAATGATGAAGCCACTTGTTTACTTGGGCATAGTATGTTCCCCAATTAGCGCTGTAATTTGGATAGAAATAAATCATTTGTCCACCATTCTTAAAAAGGGAGAAATGCTCTTAATAGTACAGTGACAGACGTAATCAAATAAATGTTTTCTTCCATGCCAGGATACTGGTGATGCATTCAGCGTTGTGTATTTCACACCATTGCCTTGATCTAGAAATAATCCCAACTTTACAAAACTCCAGAATAGTCACCTTAAACACGACACCCTGTGTGTTTTGTATTGTGTGTTGTAACATTCTGACCTGACCCTACTGGACATGTGTGGAAACGAGCATTATAGCTCATCGGGATAAATATTCTGATGCTGACTTATGATGATTTTGCAATTTTGACTGTTGACGTCAAATTTGTGCAACTTGCCCCCATGAGAGGTGGCTGGGTGGCTGTCATGGGGCTAATATCAGATCAGAGCACTGAGCAAGCAACGCTCAGATTCTGCGTTTTCATCTGACTTTCAGCTGCCTGTGGTTAAACCAGATTGTCAAGTGCAGCGAGTTCATAGTCTCAGCCTGATCACCAATGACTCCACAAAAAAATCAATAATGTAAAATTTGCTTTTTCACATCATTTGCGACCCGACGCCTTGCAGTCGTGTCAGTGTCGTCTTGCTAACAATGATTTAACGTGCTCGTTCCCCATAAGTGTCTCTGAAATTCGCTCCTCTCCCAAAGCGCTTGGCTGGATATCAAAACTTAACAACACATGTTGCTTTGTCACCCTATATGAAATAATCAATACGGTAATTATGGTATTTCTCTTCAGGCCAGTGAGCTGCCTGCAGTCTCCATACTCCAGCCCTCTGTCCGCCCTCCTGAAGAGACCCATCCAGCACCAGTCGCCTGTCACACCAGACCCAGCCGCACACCAGATCTGGCACTCTGAGACGCTCTTGCAGGTAAACCAATTCAAACGCTCCCAATGAGGCTGAAGCAATAGTAGTTTGACACGCAAGAATGTGATTCATGAAAAGCAAACTGCACGATTTTGACCATTGGATGGGATCCTTCAATCATGCCTTCCGTGTAACGTGGCATCCCCGTGTGAATACTTGCTCATGCCACTGCTAGTGGAATGGCCTTCAACTATAGGGAGTGGTCAAGAGATTCCCTCCAGATGGTACCTTTTCTTAAAAGCTCTCCAGACGTCTTTAAAGAGGTGGGAGTAGCCATATAATTTACCCCACACGTACGATCTGTCGATCAGCTTGCTGTGGGTGTATCTATTTGTACTGCTGCGCGGACAGAGACGGGAACATTTCACAAACTCGCCAATTGTTTAATCTGCCGGAAACAGTAGATCGAATCGAACTGACGACCTCTGAATTGCAATGTAATCATGCTCCCCGTTACTCCATGGCAGCATCCCGCTACTTACTGCGTGGATAATGTGCAGAGTCGTGTTGTAGACAACCAACCCAAAAAGCTCCCATCGCTGTTCACGGGAAACGAGCTGTTGTATGCATGCATGTACGTTGAACTTCTTTCGCACCGTACGTAGCCAACCGTACTAATCGGTTGCAGCGGAAGGACAACAAACTGAACACAAAAAGTAGTTCTAAAGAAATTAGTTTTCATCTAGCTCGAGTGGCTTCCTAATATTGGACGGAAGAGCGTTCCAGACGGCCGCAGAAGCGCATCTGAACGTGCGCAAAGCAGTGACCGTCTTTGTTCGATGGCCAGCCAAAATGTTGTTGACTCGTTCATTAGGACTCCGCTGAAACCGCTGTCGTTTTTCCTCCACAGGTGTTTGTGGAGCTTTGGTTGCACCATTACTCCCCAGAGGTATTCCAGAAAATGCAGTCCCCACAGGCTCGGGTAAATGTTTTGCCCGTCGACATGCCATTCCGCTCGGCGCGCACAGCAGATTGCATCCTCGTCGCATTCCCACACGGGCCATAATGACGTGAATTGTATGTTCCCAATGAGGGGTGGGGGGGGGGGGGGGGGGAAGGGGCAGTGGGGCAGGCGAAGGAATTTAAGGGGATGGTGATAATAGGATAAGGTTGGCCACGGGGTCAAGGATGCAGCAAAGCGTGCATCATGGCTTCACTAAATTACTTGGGTGGCCCACTTTTTCCTCCCCCTCTTCCCATGCACACGGGGACTTGAATACTTCGTCACAGTGTAGTGAAGCAATTATGAATCGGATGCCCAACGCTCATTTGGCTTTATTTGGTCTCTTCCAATGTAGGGGCAACATTTTGCATGTCTTCACTACGAAGTTCGCAGACTGATGCAAATTTAAATTCTCCAGTGATCTAAGTGGAGTTTCACTGATTCAGTTGGCTGCTCTGGTTGTGTATGACAACTTAAATTGGTCCATGATATCCATGGCAATCAAGGCAATTATATGGCAGAAAACAGCCATGGCCACTTGGCCACAAAGCATTTTTTTTTGTCTTGGTGGTTCTATTTGGGACCATTAAATGTATGATGTCTAGCAGCCATGTGACTTGAATTTAAATTTGCCTAGTTTTGTATTTTTTAGTATTCATACAATTTGAATATAACGAAATTTCCTCACCTCATTTTCTTCTAAAAGGAGTCATGTGCAGTGATGTCTATGAAGATTAATTTCAAGTGAGAAATAAAAGGCAAATGTCTGCTTGCTAAAACAATGATAATTTTAATTATATGAAACAAAATGTTTGAGTGACCGTTTGGACTATTACGTAACGTGCAGTTAGCAAACAGGATTTTTCGTAATGACAATGCATTTGGCCCCCAGTATGACTGTGATTAACAACAATTCCACACCCGAACAATCCTGCTTCATACATCCCAAAGCTGCTGATAACTGCCTCTTCTGCATGTAACTTATTTCCCTGCTACTGCCGATGCGCGCTTGGTGTGGTGTCCTAATGATTTCAGCTTGCAATGCATCGCTGCAACGCCACCGCTGCCTGGCTAATGAGACGCGAGGTACAAGGCGATTCGTGAGAATGTCGCTTCTCTCTGTTCGATCGGCCAAACCTTGACCCATCCCGAGACAGCTGGTGTTTTTCCAGAATGCCTTGTTAGTTGTGGCCGATGGTGTCATGGATGGCGTCATCGACAAAGTGTTAAAAGGGTGATTATTAGAGTTTTAACAATTCATTTTTTTCATTGATTAATATCGATGCTTAAGCGAGTGACATGTGCATCAAATATTGTGTGCAATATCCACGTTTTTTTTCGATTTGTGAAGGTTCTGAATTGGGTCACGTGGTCTCTACATCTATATGAACCAAAATATAATAACAAATATATATTACTCGATATAATCACGACTCTAAATCGTGATATATTATCCACTTAATCTAATCCCGACAGGTCATCAAATGGGGGTGGGTGGGATTGTGAATCACCAGTAGTGATAATGAAGGCAGAGTTTGCAAGTCGTCCAAAGCCACTGTCATAACTCTGATGGTAGAGGTCTTTTCTAATGTTTGAGTGAAGCATCTAATTGCACAACTTCTTTTGAAGCTTGCCCATTCACGTGGTCCATCAGCCACGCCTAACATTGGCACATTGTGAATTCCGAGCGGGATATCTGACCGACTGAAATAGAGTTGTGGTTAATGCCTTTGCTGCATGGCAGTAAAGCCACTCTCCCCTCTGTAACCATGTCATCGCATTGTATGAATGCACATATTAGTAGAGACCTCATCTACTTACATGTAACTGTCTTGTGCACTAAAACCATAACTAATACCCCATCTGCCTTCCATTGGCGCATGCCAGAAAATCATCCACCTGCATGTTTTACAGGCAGTAATTGTTGTGCGTGTCTTTTTTTTCATTGCTTTAACATGACACGGTTATCGTTGCGTTTACGGAGAAAATCTCAGTAGATGCGAACCATTTTGTGGTGGGAAAGTGTCTTCGATATTGCACTACAGGGGAAAACATAGCACTTACCATTTTTCTGTGAGCCTACATGGATCATACTCTTATGAACATAAATCTAACACACAATACCAGTATTTTAACAAACCAAGTAATTTCGATTTAAAGCTTTCGTGACCGCAGGGATTCATCTTCTTGGCTCTTTCGGTTAAGTCACGTAGAATGGAAATAATAGAATAATAAACATTAAATAATAAAAATGCAACACAATTTCTGATGTTTAATTTTTTTATTTTATTATTTCCATTCTACGTGACTTTACCGAAAGAACCAAGAAGATGAAACCAAGTAATACTAAGAGTAACAGAACTTAAACGTCTTAGAACTACATTCGTTCAATCGTTGATTTCACTGTGAACCAAAAACTATTTTCGTCTGAAAACAATTACCGGAGTAAACTGAGGTCGCATTGCAAGGTGGCACACTTTTTGTTGCACCATGCGGAAAAGAAAAACTTCATCTTCAGCCCTCAAAATACATGCATCGCATGTGGTGAAGCATGCCAGCTCTTGTCGGCTCGCAAAAATGAACGACCGTGTGATCTCAAACTTTTTGCTATCGAGTGGCGTGCTGGTGTCCATGCAGTGGTTTCAGTGTGCCACCTGTTGCTTTTGTCCTGTGTCCATTTGGTGTTGTTTGTGTTGGTGCAGTCGAGTGCTGATTTAAGGCAATCGTCCATTGGAGATATTGCTTAAATCATTATCAAAGAGATTGTTGCTTAAAGCGGTTAAATAGTATGAAACTGGGGCTGTGGGGAAGTGTGGCAAGTTTATGATGGATCATACAATTTCATCGTCCTAAGGAAGAAGCATGAATAGTCTTGTAAAGAAGGGTGCATGACATCCACGTACTGTATACAATGTTGACGTATAAACTCGCTTCAGTGGCAGCCGCGACACGCAAGTATAGCTTTTTCGATTTAAAGCTTTCGTGACTGCAGGGATTCATCTTGGTTCTTTCGGTAAAGTCACGTAGAAGGGAAATAATAAAATAATAAAAATAAAACATTCAATAATTCTCACGACGTTTCGGCTACAACGCAAGCAGCCGTCCTCAGGTGAAGCTTGGTGGTGTTTCATTCTTCACCTGAGGACGGCTGCTTGCGTTGTAGCCGAAACGTCGTGAGAATTATTTTATTATGTTTTATTTTTATTATTTTATTATTTCCCTTCTACGTGACTTTACCGAAAGAACCAAGAAGATGTAGCTTTTTCGTGATCGCTTTACATGGTGCAAAGAGCTCGATAGTACATGACAAAAAGCATAACCCGGGCCCAGCTTTGACAGCCACCACTGTCTCTCTCTCTTGAGAAGCGCCCGAGCTGTGGGTTAAATCCGCCCTCGACTGCGCTCGTTGTTTCTCCCTCTCCCCGCATCCCCCCCCCACCGCCGCCTGTTTCCTCCTTGTGATCGCCTGCCACGTGCGCTGTGCCTGTGTCAGATGGAGGTGATGCAGTGGCGCCTGTGTGCCCAGGGCGTGCCGCTCGGTAGCCCTCTCCCGCCCGCCTACTGCGGCCTACTCCTGCAGGAAGTAAATGATTGAGAGCGGAGAGGGGCAGGCTGCAGGACCTTGCGGGCCAGACACACGGCGCGTTCCACTTATCGTGCCAGGCCATTTTTCTTGTTTTTCTCTCGTCAATCGGCACGTGACGAGTCATCTGTTTTAAAATTTTATCCGACGCTCGCAAATTACGTGCATCGAAGGAACGAGTAAGACAATGTGACTGTACGAAGAAAATTTTTTGTTTCGTCAAATAATAACAGTTCATGACATTATGGGGAGCAAATTTTATGCTTATCGTGTAACGTCGATTCACAGGCACCGTGCACCGGTTGATTTGGTTGTAGTGGGAAACGTGGACCGTGTGTTGCCCGCCAGGACCCGTGGTGGCTCCGTTACCTCCTTAGAAAGCATGCACCTTGAAGTGGCACGCACGCAGCAAAGGCATCTTGGCAGCAGTGCTTGTTTGCAGGGGCGGAGGTTAGCGTTTGGCTAAACTTATTTTGGCTGGGTATGCGGTATGGCATCCCGTTGCATACCATACCGCAGAAGCAATTATATGTTTCCTAGTCATTTACATTTACCGTGATTATGCAGTCTGTCCGATCTTCTGCATACATGTTCTTTGTTGGCTGCAGAAACCCTATTTCACATTTCAGTCCAAATTGTCCTCTGTTTTCAGGTGAAGCCTTTTTTTGTAGGCATTGGCACGCAGTGGATTGAACCTAATAGAGAGTTTGTCCAGCTTTCTTTAATGACTTTAATGACACACTTGGGTTCAAGCCAAGATCAACGAGCCACCCACATATCAATAACTAATGATATGGAACTTACTTTGGTGTAATCCATTCTGCTCTTGAAGCTGTCGTTAATGCCCACAGCCAACGCAAAACAGAGTAGATATAATTTGAACATTTCCAGATATGTTTTATTTTTTATTTTTAACAATCGTCTCAGCTCTTATCTCCCTTGCCCCCTTTCAAAAAGTCTTGGGATCCTTTCACCTGCTTTCAGTCTGTCTTGGATGTCTGTCCTCTTTGATGGCCATGGAATCATCACCCCTTTCCACATCTGCATGGGGGCACGGCCCGTGTTCAGCATCCATTTTTTGCGTGTGAGATTTCCACCAATTAAACGTCATGCTCTCATTAACCACATGCCGCTGCCATCCATCACTTAACAAGCATGTGCACACACGCACTTGTACAGCCGCTGCTGGATGAGGGCCTCCCCACGCTTGAGTTATAGGGGTTATTTGACCATTCTTCACGCCGAAGGTGGGGAGCATACTCTAGGGAGTATTGTACAGCTTTATAGTTTTATGTAGTGCGCTCTGCTCTTGACCATGAATGGCAATCGCGCATCCAAACACTATCCAGGCCCAACAATACTTAGCTTCGAAATCTGATAAGATAAGATCGGACACATTCTGGGTGAATTTGATCCTTATGCATGGGATGAGATCGTGAACTGGTTAAAATGATGGCAACTGTGAACGACACCATAACGTTTAAGCTTTCTGCATTTATATGCATCCTATAAATTCGGCAGCTTGCTATGCAGCCTTAAGCACACAGGGGATAGCGAAGCTTGCCTGCCATCTGTGTTAAGCCTTGGCTTTCTGCTTTGTTCTTTCCCGCAACCTGATTTACTTTTTTTTGGGGGGGGGGGGCGCGGGTGGGGGGGTCGTTTCCTGCGTTTGGCGGCTGTTGGATGCATTATGGGCTGCTTGGCTGCTGCTTGGTGGGTCGTGTGCACAACGCGCGCGTGCGTGTGCTCGCGCCCGCACGACGTCTCGCAGGAACAGTTTGTGCCGACGGAGGAGCACGTGCGGGTGGTCCGCCTGCTCGTCAAGCACCTGCATTACTTCAGCAGCAGTGCGCGCGACCCGCCGCCCGCCTCCCCCTCGTCCCCATACCACTCGCAACCTACGAGCCCGCTCGACAACTTCAAACGGTGAGCGTCGTGAATATGTGCAACCTCGAAGAATGTGATTTGTGAACGGCGAAAGGCATGAATGTGAACATAGGGTTCAATCATGCTTTGCGGGTCAAGTTCAAGTTCATTGATTAGGTATAGCCCTGTGAGCCATTCGGCTCTTGAATCGGGTGCAACCGCAACAAACAAAAAAACATGAACAAGAAAACATCTTAAAGTGACTATGTGCAAACAGAAAATCCAAGAAAAGACAGCAAAATATTGCACTTGACATCACTGTACAGCCCGTGTATAATGAAGGTTTAAAAAACACGTCACTCGAAATCATTTCTGAAGCACTTCCGTGATATCTGCTTTTGTGGGTGGTTCTTTTAACCGGGGTTGCACTGCTCTGCGAAAATTTCCGATCATAATTTCTGAACGGGTTGTTTTTTCTCGTGACATAGGATGCCGATAGCATACGTGAAATTTAATTCGTGAAAATCAAATTGAAAGTAAAGCAAGTACGTACACAAATCGGTCCCCCTCAATGCGTGGTCAAACATGAGGTTGTTGGCTGTGTCACAATGGGCCAACTGAAATGCTTTGTTGTGTGTGTCCAGGGTGGTGATTCCAAGGTTTGTACAGAAGAAGCTCTACGTGTTCCTGCAGCATTGTTTCAGCCACTGGCCGCTCGACTACTCCTTCCGAGTGGTAAGTGTCCATGTGCCAGCAGCCCGTGGGTGATTGAGTGTCCGATGCACCCTCCCCCCAAGGTGTGCAAACAGTGCACCCCATGAGTCGGTGAACTGGGCCATACAACTCATAGAAAATGACAATGCCACTTACAATGGCATAGATGGTGGACCAAGGTCCTAGTGGACTCCAGAGGCAGGCATGGCACAATAATTACCTTCTGCTGCCATGAGTCGGTGAGTCGGTGAACTGGGCCATACAACTCATAGAAAATGACAATGCCACTTACAATGGCATAGATGGTGGACCAAGGTCCTAGTGGACTCCAGAGGCAGGCATGGCACAATAATTACCTTCTGCTGCCATGAGTCGGTGAGTCGGTGAACTGGGCCATACAACTCATAGAAAATGACAATGCCACTTACAATGGCATAGATGGTGGACCAAGGTCCTAGTGGACTCAAGAGGCAGACATGGCACAATAATTACCTTCTGCTGTCGGGGTTGGACAACCAGGCTTTAAGGACAAGGAAGCCATGCAATACACGCATACCCCGTTTAGCGCGAGGGATGTGTGCCTGGAAACGAGAGTGCTAGTTGAATTAGCGCTATAACTGGGTCACTATAGCATAGGCCCTATGGAGATGTGTTCCCGACATCATAATTTATCACCTAAGACCAACACATGTGGGGTTCAGTGGGTTATTGGAACAATAATAAAGATAAACATGATTTATGATATAGATAAACATGATCTGTGACTTAACTCTCCCCAGTTTAACACTTAGGCTTTCCTGACCAATATCCATATTAAAGATTTTTTTGGGTTAGATCGCGATCTAACCTAAAAAGACCTCTTATTGACTCCCTCCAGTTTTAGAGGAAAGCGCTCATTGGTGGAGAGCTAATGCCATGCCAACTCGAGTGATGGTGCTTGTTCATTAGCTGAGGGAGGGCGGAGAGTGTAGGGCCCTAATGTACAGTATTTGGATGAGAATGTACACAGAGTTAACTCAAGTACGGATTTTCATCCTTATGTTATTTATTGTAGGTTACGTATGTACTGTATTACATTTTTTATATATATGTATTTTTTTTGCTATTTTTCCCAAGAACAAACCGCTCGTAACGAATCGGCGCTGTCCGGGGTACCGCTAAACGGGATATGCGTGTAATATTTTTGCCGGCTATAGTATGCCAGTAGGGGGCGATGCTGTTACATGTTTTACCCAATTATATAATTTGTGGGTAATCTTTTTAATACATTTTTGCCAATAACATTACGGGATCGTTAACGTTCACCGTCAAGCAGACGACATCTATTTTATGCACCGTCCATACTAACGCTGCCCTGATTAGCAAAGGCACAATCCGTCGACCATGAAACCATGCTCAGGGTGGTCTAACCTGCCAGTGGCTTTTCAGCAAGTGAGCAAACGAGTGGTGCACCCTTTCGTTCAGGTGCTGGAGACGTGGCTGAGCTACATCCAGCCGTGGCGCTACACGGAGTGGCCGAACGGTGGCGGAGAGTCGGACGACCCCACCGTCCCCGACAAGTGGTGAGGCTGCAAGCGTGAGCTGCAATTGCGCCTGACCTTGGTCGAGTGTTCCATGGCTTTTGTTCTCGGTGCAGGGTCTTCTTCTTTGATCCTCTGCCCAATAGCAGGTCGTTAGCTCAAACGGCGGCTGCCCAGTCTTCAACCGTCTTCGCTTCCCTCAGTGTTGCAGGGTGCACAGATCAAATCTAAGCTCCAGTCACGTGTGAATGCGTAATAACTTGAATGCATGATAGTTAATCTGTATGGATCCCTATGATCTAGGCATGTAATTATGCACACCGCCAACGTCTGTGATTTGATGAATTGTTACGACCAACTCTGCTTTCAATCGCCATGAAGTTAACCATGGCCGGGAATCGAAATTAGGTCACCGAGTTAATAGCGCATTGCATGAACCACTAAGCCACTGCTCCACCCGATGGATGTTAACCCAGTCTTTTCTGACCTCTGACATAACGCGTCCTGTGCTTGTCGTTACGGCAGGGCGGTGTTCGTGCAGGAGAACCTGCTCTTCTACACGCGACTCTTCCAGGTGTTTGTGGGCCGCACCTTGCGCTCCGACCTCAGCTCGGCGCGGCACACACTCATGGCGTACCGGGCCGCCAAGGTGTACGCGCAGTGCAACTTGTGCGCGCTCATCATGAAAGGTGCGTCGCACGTGTTACGGGAGCGACAGGGATGCTGGACGTGCTCCGATCTGGACCGTACATTTGTAACAGTCTTGAGGGTCGTCGATTTTGGTTGCTTTGTACGATTGTTTTATATGTAAGTGTCCCTTTTGTCAATTCACTGCCGGGCCACCCAATGGCATAAGAGCCTTGGAGGTTGTTTAACCTCGCTTCACCACGCTCGTTCATGCGCTTTGGTGTGGAGCATGAGCTTATGCTGCCTACAGCATAGTATATTCCTATCACCCACGCGAGCGATCGCCATTCTGATTTCCATCACCCTGTGCGCTCCCTTTAACCAGGCGAGCAGCTGCTGCAAGAGCCTGAGCACATCTCTCCCCAGCGCCAGCAGCAGTCGCCGGCGGCACGGGGCTCTTCCCCGGCCCCAGCACCGCCCTCCTCCCTGCGGTGGGGGGGCGGCGGCGCGCACCCCCCCCGCCAGGCGCTACCCGGTGACGGCGCGGCTCGCGTGCGCTTGCACGTGTGCGCGCTCGAGGGCCAGGAGCGCACCTACACGCCCCTGTTCGGCTCGGAAGGCCGCACCGCCGTCCTGCAGCTGGTGCAGGCACTGCAGCAGGCCCAGAGGCAGGCGGCCGCGGCGATGACGGCACCCTATCGGGCAGGCGAGGTCATTTCGAGTGGTGGCGGTGGCAGCAACGGTCCGAGCGGCGGGCGCTCTTTCCTCTCCATGCTGGGCCTCACGTGGGACTTGGGGTACGGGTCGGCGAGCGCCAACGGGGACGACTACGAGGCGGTGGACACGCGCAAGCTAGGAGAACACCTGCAGAAGTCCATCGAGTTCTTTTCGCAGACATTCAGGGTGTGGTGTAATTTTTTGCATCTTAAGCATCTTAAGATAATTTATTATTAACTTACAAGTACATGTACAGCCGTCTTTTCAGTCCATTGCTGGGTGAGGGCACAGCATGGAGTGAAAGCAAGGAGAAAAGTTGTGGTAGCACAGAACCACAGTACAACATTGCCGTCTTGCTGCCCACCATGCAATGCAAGCCCTATGAGATCATGTTTGCACATAGTGGTCACCCCCAACCAAGCACTATCCAGGCTCAAACCTGCTTAATTTACAAGATCTGATGAGATCGAGTGCATTGCGAGCAATTTTGTGTTGCATCGTTCCCACATTGTACAAGGTCTTTTTAAATTTTTATTTAAAGCTTTCGTTACTGCAGGGATTCATATTCTTGGTTCTTTCGGTAAAGTCACGAAGGAAAATAATAAAAATATAAAACAATAAAATTCTCACGTTTCGACTGCAATCACAAGCAATCATCATCAGGTGTGAAATCCACAGCAAGAAAATAAAAAAAAATATTGCTGTGGATTTCACTCCTGATGAATGCTTGTGTTGCAGTCGAAACGTCGTGAGAATGTTTTGTTATTTTATATTATGTCCCTTCTACGTGACTTTACCGAAAGAACCAAGAATATATAAGGTCTTTTTAGTAAGAGGCTCAAGCACATAGGCTTTCTCACTGTCATAAAGTACAGTCCAAGTGCGACCATATCTCAAAACACTTGACAGAAGCAGTAAAAAACACTGAAAATCTTAATTGCAAAAAACGTCCTTGCGACACCGTTGGAGCCAAGGCAGGTCATGGGAGAGTTCCCATGCCGCAAATGAGCCGCGTTGTTTTGCTTGTTTCAGATAAACGCGGCGCTTGTGGTTCCGCGACACTCGTGGATGGGCCCCGGTGCGCCAGACTTTGGCACCAGGCGAGCTTCCGGACTGTGCGCCGGGGAAGGATGGTCAGATGCTCACACCGCTCGGCCGTTACCAGGTTACCGCACCCAAGTCACTCGATGTAATAATAGTCATTGAGAGCTCTCGTTCAGTCCCCTGCTGGATGAAGGGCTGCCCACATGCAGTGTCGGTTGTGGTGGTTCCTTCACCATATTTCACCGTGTTGGTCAGTGTCGGTTAGCCATGGTGGTGAATTAAACTCCGGTTGCTGGGTTCATCGCGCTCACCACAACACTACCACTCCACCCCACGTGCTCTAACGTTCCATTTGTTGTTTGTAATCGTCAAGAATTTTTTTTATATATATCCGTTAAACCATCAGAATCTACAACATTGGGACGTTTAGTCAATTACATTCACAAAAGCGTTTGCGATCTGGGAACTGGAATTCCAGGAGAAAACATCTGCATAACGGAACGGCACTCCAAGGTCCACGCAGATGAGGTCACAACTCACTTGCTGTACGACCATCTCCTGGCTAGCTCACAGCCCAGCAGATTTGGGAATTTAACAAACCTCTATATGATCCACCGACCTTTACCTCCCGAAGCACTGGCACTGCAGGTGTGTATGACCAGGCCCGGCTCACGGTGCCCACATCCAGAACTCCTCTGCAAATACATTCCATCTTATTAGGCTACATGTTAGGTATGAATATATATTTTTAAATACGACGTGCTTGTTTGTAGTAATGTTTATTCTGTTACTGGTGCATGCAGCTGATGAATGGGCTACGTCGCTTCAACATCCAATATTCGGGAGACCCCGAACTGCAGCCTATCAGAAGCTACGAAAACCCCACGCTCGTTCGGTTGCTGTATCGTCTGACATCCGCTCTCAACCTCCGGGTAAGCCGTAACTCAAACACTTCGATATGATGCGACTGGTGTGTTCACATTGGTGGTGCTTGAATTAAGCAATACCGAGCCAGATCCCTTTTCCCACCCTGCCTTTTGTTGCACCTTCCCCAGTGTTGGCCCCAATTTCTGCAACGACTTACATTCATATCTTGCCTATAATGTAAAAAGCATCTCAAAGCACAAGAAGGCAACGGGAGGGAATGAGTGTGCTATGTTGATCTTGCTTCATCCCCCTCTACTTGGTCTCGTTGGTCCTGGGCCGGACCGCGCTGTTGCTCTCTCCCATGTGTCGATGCTGTCACCAACCCCACACTTTCCATTTCACCTTCCCTAATGTTTTCCCTCACTTGGGACAATCATTGAATCTATGCGGCAGGGTGGGTGATGAATCCATCATTACGCTCACTGTGTGCGGCTAGATTGTTGTCCTTCCCCTGCACCTCCGATTAGCATGGTTGGCTACGTACGGTGCGAAATAAGTTCATACATACATCGACATGCATTTCAGAATTGAATTAAGTGCAAATGGTATGATAGTGATTTTACAGCCCTTTGTCAAGTCTACCTAACATATACCCCTGTCCTACCCCATGATTGTTCCAATGTGTTCCCTCTGCAGTACAACAGTCAGATGCAGGCGCTGTGCAGGCGGCCAGGTTTCCTGGGCCGCCTCTCGCGATACTACCTCTGTCCGCCAAGGGTCGCGTCCATGCCAAGGCTCTCATCAACAGAGAGCAACTCTTCTTCCTCCTCCTCATTCCGGGAGCCAGTGATAATGGCGGCAGCGGCAGCGCATACACCCCGCCTGAGCTTGCGCTTCCTGGCAAGCTACAGGAACGCGCTGGGCCTGCTGCTGTTGTACACGCTGGCCCGCGTGCTCCTGTCGCTCGACCCCCTGGGGTTCATGCTGCTGCTGCTCTTGGCGGCGTTGGGGTACGGTGTCATCAAGACGCTGCTCAGGGAGCGGTCGCACATTGACTGAGCAACCGACATTACACCTTGCACTGCCATCCCCATCCCCGGCCCCTTGTCAGTTCACGGCCGTTAGAATTGGACGAAGTTGTTTAGTAGGGGGCATGTAACGATGCATTGAGTCACGGATTCTGAATTGCGCAATATGTTTACGCTTAATATTGCATCTAATGATTACATTTGTGCAGATTATATGCTGGTGTTTATTTACAGCCCTTTGTCAATCCACTGCCAGATGAACGCCTTTCCATGCCGTGTTGGTCATTGGGATAATTTGACTACTTCACCATGCGAGTCAGTTTGGATTGTTGGCACAGTGGTCAGCTCTTGGTTTGATTCTTGAACGTGTCTAACGTCATTGGCATATGCTATCTAAATGAGTCATGGCCCCCACTTGACCAATCTACTGATAAGCGTGGCAAAGCGAAGTAATACACTGCATGACTGAAGTCATGCAGTGTATTGACAAGACGACATATTATTTGCAAGTGTTAGTTGGACTAATGGAGCGAATAAAAGGAAATTGCAAAAAATTCGAGAATCCCGATGAGGTGGATAAACAGAAGACTTAATTCTTGAATTGTATCACGATTCATGGACTGGTTTGTGGATCATTACATGCCTGCTGTTTAGGCTTATGTCCACAAAGAGATGTTGAAGAGGATTTTTGTATTCTTGACAATGCATTCTTTTCTTCATTGTCATGATGTTATAAGCGGAGTTTTTGTTTTGTAATTGAAATGAAACATGGGTCATTCATATCTATTTTAATAAGATGAATATCGATTTGTTAAGTATGTTTTATAAACAGCTTTCTTCATGTGTTTTTAGAATATAAAAATAAAAAAGATCAACCAATGCAGAAGTTAAGTCTCATGAAAAACCACAGTTTTAATGTGTATACCTTAACATGTCATCAGGAATGCTGGGTCGTATGCTGAAGAGCACAATTTAAATGCACTAAATTTCGATGTAAAGCTTTCGTGACTGCAGGGATTCATCTTCTTGGTTCTTTCGGTAAAGTCACGTAGAAGGGAAATCATAAAATAATAAAAAATAATAAAATACAATTCTCACGACGTTTCGCCCACAACGCAAGCAGCCGTCCTCAGGTGAAGAACAGGGCTGTCGGAAAGACAGCGTCATTCCCTTCTACGTGACTTTACCGAAAGAACCAAGAAGTTAAATGCACTAGTCATACATCAACCAAATGCAAATAGTGGTTCTAGATTTGAAGCTTTCGTGACTGCAAAGATTCATATTCTTAGGTTTTTTTTTCGGTTAAGTCACGTAAGTAAAAACATCAAAATAAAATAAAAATCACGACGTTTCGGAGGCAACACAAGTCTCCGTCATCAGGTGGGACCGTCACAGCCGAATTAGCTGCATCAAGTGAAGCAATGATTCAAGATGTAATCCCTTATAAGCAAGTTGAAGGGAGGTGGAGAGGGGGGGTTGGAGAGCTTATCAGACTGTGGTAGCCAATGAATGGAAACGTATCGGGAGGGAGGAGCGGTGATCAAAGACTGCACGCAGTGCTCAACACAATGAATGCGTTTCCATTCATTGTGTTGAGCACTGCGTGCAGTCTTTGATCACCGCTCCTCCTCCCTCCCGATACGTTTCCATTCATTGGCTACCAGTCTGATAAGCTCTCCAACCCCCCCCCTCTCCACCTCCCTTCAACTTGCTTATAAGGGATTACATCTTGAATCATTGCTTCACTTGATGCAGCTAATTCGGCTGTGACGGTCCCACCTGATGACGGAGACTTGTGTTGCCTCCGAAACGTCGTGATTTTATTTTTATTTTGATGTTTTTACTTACGTGACTTAACCGAAAAAACCTAAGAATATGCAAATAGTGGTCTTAAAAGTTTACCTCCAAGTATTCTGGGTGGTTAAATCATATTTCATTAATGGGAACTAACTTATCTCCATGTCTTTGAACATGAATATTCACGGCTCGGGAGGTGTATACGAGCCTCTTCGTTTGTGTGCGACACGCAAAGGCATCGCCACCTTTAACAACGCTTGAGCAGGATCCTACTGTTGAACAAGAGCTTCCCAAAATGTGGTCTATCCAGCCCAGCAAGGTGCAAGTTTCAATTTTTACTATTGAGACCCGTAAAATTACTTAACGTCGACTTAAAATGTTAGTATATGTGGTATGGCAGAGCATTATCGGGAGCAATAAATTATATATTTGCAAGCCCAATTGTTATTTATTAACCAAAACTCTTTCCAGAGTTTCTCACTGTTAAAATTAAGCATAATCCCAATTGAATTAGTAAATGTGTGAACCGGCCACTTTTGCATGGAGGAATGGGTGCACACCAGGAGTGTGAAACGTTTTCCTTCCCGAGCGCACACTGCGAACATTGCACACGTCATTGCAAGAGGTGCACCAAGTGACCGATCGCACTGAAAACGAAGTGTTACCAGGTTGAAACAATTCCCTTTTAATACCTGATTAGTATGGCTAAGGTCCTAGCAGTGACAGATAAATATCGCGTGGGGGACATTTCTAAGTGGTGGGGGACTAATGTAGCTGCGGGTAACGTCAAATTAAGTCATGGGCCTTGGGTTGCCCACCTCTAATGTACAGCCAATTAACCCAACATTGGCCTCTAATGTATACAGTATAATAAATGAATCCACACTCAACACAATAGCTATACTGTACGTGGTAACAGCCCACACGACTGACCAAGTCCAGCCATCCCGACCACGTATTCCACGAGCCAGTTTAATGTTACCAAATGCGTTGGGAGTGGCTTGGGACCAAAGGGAAATATGCAACCATGTTGGCATGTGTAAGAGGGACTCGAGTTAACAGTGTAACAACAAACCATATAATTGGATACTTTAATAGTGAAATATCCAGTTTCAATAGACCAACAACCAGACGATGAAGGTGGAATTAGACTAAGGTCGCGTGTCCATTGCTCCCCCTATATACCGAGACCACAATATGTTTGACTCCATGCACGGACCTTGGAGGTCAAAAGTTCAGCGTAAAAGCTGTGACTTGGCAGGTAAGATGTTGTGGCATCAGAAGCATTGGTCATGATATCAGAATCTTCATTTAAATGTTTGCAGTGTTTCCCAAACTCATCTGTTTTTGCGACCCACCAAGGTGCGTATTTTCATAATGTACAAACTTCAGTTTAAATACAAATTAAGGCGGCAAGCGTGGTTCACGAATAATACGCATAGACACGATGTCATCTTAATATCGAATCGCCGCTACCTCCATCAGACAGGGAAACAGCCTCCACACAATATCGTAATTTGAATACCCAAATTTTTGCAATCATCGGGATTGCGCCGAGCGTACCATTTACATTAGAAACAAGTGAATAATTGGTGGGGTCGCTAAAACAGGCAAACCCTGAAGGAGAAGTTCAGTTGTGTGGGGGGGTGGTGATGGCAACCATCTCGCCTCCTCCTCCTTCATTCTGCTCGGGTCTCTTCCCATCGGATCTTCAGATTTGGCGGCAGTGGCATCGAGGCGAGGTCCTCGAAGCGGCTGGCGTCCCTCACGGCCTCCCCGTAGAAGGCGAGGACGTCGCCCGCGTGGGACACCTCGTGCAGCCGCGAGTTGGGCACCCGGTGGCCGCCCAGATCGGCCGCCAACCGCGCCAGCAGCTCGAACTTTTTCGCGTCGGCGCCCACGGCAACGTGGCGCCAATCTCGAGCTCCCGTGCCCGTGTCGCCCTCGCCGTACACCTCGCCCACTGCTCGCCGCACGCGTTGCTCCAGGTCAGCGGGCGGGTCGTAGCGCCGGCTCCGCGGCTCGGGCCTAGGCATGAACACCATCGCCTGCCGCTGCTCCTGCTCCTCCTGCTCCTCCTGCGCTGGCACCGCCGCCGCCGCCTTGTCCCTCCTCAGGAAGTTCATCCTGCTCCAGAAGGTGCCTCGCGTCTCTGTGGCGTAGGCGGCTGCTGCGGGAGACCACGGGGGGCACGGGAGGCGTCTGCCGAGCAAGGACGCGCCACGCAGCGCCGCCACCATGGGGGCCGCCATTGCCGCTGAATGCCCCGAGGCCGATGCGGCGACTTCCGGTGTTGATGATGATGCGCCGGAAGTCGCCGCCGCCGCCGTCACCGCTTTGAAGCCCGCCGCGGACATGTTGGGTGAGGGAGACCGGTGGCGCTCTAGATTTGAAGCTTTCGTGACTGCAAGGATTCATACTCGTAAAGTCACGTAGGTAAAGAATAAGTAATATAATTGAAAAAATAATAGATATAAAATATAAATCATAAAATAATTAATGCCTCCGAAACGTCGTGATTTATTATTTTACTTCTATTATTTTTTCAATTATATTATTTATTTTTTACCTCCGTGACTTTACCGAAAAACCTAAGAGTATGAGACCGGTGGCGTTAATCTGCGGGGCGCTGCGGTTCGGTTGCGTGACGTCACGCATCGCTGCCCCGTGTTAGCGGATGGGTCGTGCCCCCGCCTAAGATGGCCGCTGGAATTGTGGGTGGGGGAAGGAGGGGGGCGGTGGAAAGGGGAGGGGGCAAGGAAGGGTGAGCTGTGCTAGCAGATGACGTCATGGGTCGCTAAATTTTGACTTTAAACTTTTGTGACTGCAGGAATTCATAGTCTTTCGATATTAAAAATAATAACAATAAAATACTAAAAATAAAGTGAATTAAAAAAAATCGCGAAAGGACGTGACGTCAACAAACCGACTCTTCACACGGTCGCCATATTGGGTGGGGTGGGGGGACGAGGTGGGGGGGGTGCAGTACCCCCCCCCGCCCCACACCGATGACGCGTCGTGAGTGACGTCACACCGAGTTGTCCCCCCGCCCCACACCGATGACGCGTCGTGAGTGACGTCACACCGAGTTGTCCCCCCGCCCCACACCGATGACGCGTCGTGAGTGACGTCACACCGAGTTGTCCCCCCGCCCCACACCGATGACGCGTCGTGAGTGACGTCACACCGAGTTGTCCCCCCGCCCCACACCGATGACGCGTCGTGAGTGACGTCACACCGAGTTGTTCCCCCCCCCCCCACCCCCTCCTCGTCAATGGACTCTTCCTCCACAGAACATCCACCGACGTTACACTTCCAAGTTGGCAACTTTAACGTGAACCGCTTGGCGATCGTGGGAAACAACGACCGCTGGTAAAGAAAACAAAGCGGCTGTCGCTCTATCGGTAATACAAAGGCGCGTGTGGATAACGACGACGACGAGGAGGAGGAGGAGGGCGCCCACAGCTCTGCAGGCGGGTTGTGGTACGCGCCGTCTCCACGGCAACGGGCAGGCTTTCGTGAGGCCTAGGCCAGGCCGTCGGTGTTTTTTTGACGCTTACTGTGTGTGGTATTTGTTACTTTGTTATAATAATGATGGTGGTGGTGGTGGCGTTGTTACGTTACGATAGTCGTGATTATTGTTGTTGTTATGATTGACTAAAGTTTGTGGATTCACAGGTGAGGCGCGAGACGGAGTCGCTTTAATAATGTAACGGGGTTAGAGGCGGTTTGCGTGTTTATAGTGTAACGTGTTTATAGTTTAGTGTAAAGTATTTATAGTGTAACGTGTGAATGTAGCAGAACGTGTTTGTACTGTACGGTAAAATTATGTTTGTAGTGTAATGTGTTTAGTAGTGTAAAGTAAAACGTGTAACATGTTTTGACTGTAATGGTGTTTGTCTGGAGTGTAACGTGTTTTGTAGTGTAACACGTTTAGGGTAAAGTAACGTGTTTAAAGTAGAACGTGTGTGTGTATATAGTGTAACATGTTTGCACTGTAATGCTATGTGTTTGGAGTGTAATGTGTTTGGAGTGTAGCGTAAGATGCAACATGTTTATAGTGTAACGAGTGCTTGATGCAATGTGTTAGTAATGTTCTGTGTATTGTCATGTGTGTTTAGTGTAACGTATTTTGGATAATGTAACGCGTTCATAGTGTCACGTGCTTTGTTTTTTTTAATTCATATTATTACGCTTATGTACCCGGCAAATCAAATGGGTAAATGACGAGCAAAACTACAAGTTGAAAACAACGTGTGCTCTTGATACCCTTTTGATGTCTTGCTTGGAAACGCATTGAGGAAAGCCTCGCTGAGTTTCATGGCTCCTTTTCAGGTTTCCTGCCAAGTGTTCGCACTTGGGACCGATGGTTGTTGTCTTATATATTGATATAAACTGTTATCTCAGTGGGGGAATGCGTCGTGTGATTTTATTCTCTCCCTGGGGAGCAAACTGGGAAGCATCGGAGGCAAAGCCACGCTCCACAAGTCCTGTCTGCACTCGCAATTTTAATTTAACCTATTTTATTTTATGATTTAACTAATATGCATTGTTATCTGTTATTTATTTAACCCTTGTATCTGTCATTTCATTCAAAAATATTGTTATCCGCAATTCCATGTATACACCTTATCTGTCATCAATCAACACACTTAATGTTATTCTTGGTTCTTTCGGTAAAGTCACGTAGAAGGTAAATAATAAAAATAAAACAATTAAATTCTCACGACGTTTCGATTGCAACACAAGCAATCATCATCAGGTGTGAAAACCACAGCAAGAAATGTTTATTTAACTTTCATTATTTTATTATTTCCCTTCTACGTGACTTTACCAAAAGAACCAAGAATATGAATCCCTGCAGTCACGAAAATTTACACTTAATGTGATTGCCTCTTAAAATGCGTTTTGTTTTCCAGCTTAGTCAGAAACTATTGACATCCTCTTTAGGGTGACAAAAGCTAACGTAACTATTAGACTTTACTTTTCAATTACCCATGCCATCTTTACACCGACAGATAAAGTGCGTGTGTACGTGCGGGAGCTCAGGCGAGATGGACGCATCCCGTCGTCGTTGAGGCGGCCTCTCTTCTCCCGGCTCTTCCGACCTCCAACAACACCACCCCGGCCAAGCAAGCTCGGAGCTCCCTCAAGAACGGAGGAACAGACACAATGTCCAGTGCCAGCCTTCCTCCTGTGGGCAACCTGCCACACTGGAGCCGAGTCACCAGCCTCGACCGTGCCCACTACCCACGGCCTGCGGATGGGGAGCGGCCAGTCCACCGCCTCAATGTTCAGCCAGCCCCGGCAGAGGGCATCACCTTGGCTGTTGGCAGCGGTGGGTGGGACGGGAAAGGGTCAGGAGACGTGAGGTCAGAGTCTGGTGCGGGCTCTGCAAGGTCCGAGCGGGGGCTAGAGCATGGCAAGGCGACTGCCACCGGTGGTGTCGAGGCGTCGAGCCTGGCTGGCCGCAGGATTTTACAGCTCGAACGGAGCCTGGAGTTCGTGCAGAAGGAGCACGCGGACATGCTGCAGAGGCTGCACGCCGAGGTCGATCGACTCACGCGGGAGAACAAGGGTGAGGCCAGCGGGTGTTCGCGGTGTTCACGAAAATGAGTTGTGAAAAGATTCGTCGACAAAGTGTGTTTTCTTTTTTGTGAAGGGCAGCGGAGGTCGAGGGAAATTGCACACTCCTCACACCGACGTTTAATAACTCGTAGGAGACTGCTTTAGTCGACAAGACTAAAATAACTATTAACAGAAATCCAGGCTTCACTAAAATTCCACAGGTCGTCGTGGACTAGCCTACGATTAAAATAAAACATTAACCAAATCAGGGCAGCAGTGGTGGTGTAGCAATTGCCAATGCAAGCGGTGCAGTTACACCAGGGCCCAACAGGGGCAAAATGGGGGTGGAGTGGGCTCAGGCTCCAGGGGAGAGTGGAGGAGCCTTTCCAATTTTTTGCACCGATGCCCGTCGTACCCATGCCACGCCACTGACCAGCGCTGCCTGCTGCCGGAATGGCAACCCCGGGGGTTGTGGTGGTGCCACGGGTGCAACATCAAGCACGTTCATGGCATATTAAGCGCGGAAGTGGGTGCTGAAGATAACACTAAGTTATTTGTGACACTTGAATGCACTTTGTGCGTAACGCAGTGCTTTGATCCTGTTGATTCTGGAGTTGGCCTTTAAACAGAGAGACTTGGAAATACATTTTAAGATTTTTTTTTTGTGTAAATGATGAGAAACTCTTGCATCTAGACTGTAAAAAAATAATAATATTAATTTCCTTAGTGACTTATAGTGTACATTGTTTCAATACTGCAATCTCATATTTCTCTTTAACATTTGTTTCTGACGGTGTATTATTAAAACGTGGCTGCACACTTTTATAAATGTGATTTTTTTTCTATCCACAGATCTGCAATTCATGCTGATTGTGAACCAGAGGGACCTGCATTCAAGTGAAGGTATTGTAATTAATTAGTGCCTCCACTGCTGCACGTTGACTCGTACACTCCTAAGTTACCATAACAGAATAATTACACCTATCTTCGTCTCTTAACATGCTTTTTTATCTATGAGCTCATAGGTCTATTTATTCACTTAACACATAGTTCTCCACAAAAACACTCAATGAGTTGTAATAGCTTTGTTTATTTTTGTGCAGAACACGGCCCAGTTGTATAAAATGTATTCGTTAACAGACCTGACTTCTAATGAGACACAAAATGTTGAAGATGGCCAGAGTTAGTTTGAACAAATTTAGATCGAGGATATATACAGTAAAACCTTGAATTGCGAGTAACTTGGTCTGCGAGTGTTTTGCAAGACGATCAAATTTTTTTAATGAATATTAATTTGATAAACGAGCGAGGTCTTGCAAAACGAGTAGTACATGTATTCGCTTTGTCTGCCGAGCGTCACATGATCACAACTGATATGCGAGTGCTTTGATATACCAATTATGCTCGCAATCCAAGGTTTTACTGTACGTGGTTATTAGAACGGAAGTAGAATAGATTCATGATATTGAATCGTATCACTACATGTCCTCACCCAGAAATAAATAATGATAGTTGAATTTAAGCAAATAATTGACACGTTTGTTTCGTGTGCACTGTTTTGATAGAGAGAAGTTCTATTGATGCATCAGAAAGCAATGAATCGAAACTGAGTCGCTCAGAAAGTTGTGAGCAGTTCAGCGGTGAGTAATACATAAACTACGGTATTTTGTCAGATATTTTAACATTTAATTTCTGCAAAACCAACCACTATTGTTCACCCATCTAACCCATTTATACTTTTGATTTTATTTGTAAATTGATAAATAATGTGCTTGGACGTTGATTCGTTTACATCAGAAAGGTTGCCCTATTCTGGGTCACACGGTGCATAATCTTTGGCAATTTCTCGAATGGTTGTAGAATTGTCAAAAAAGATCATACTTCTGACTTGTACATCGAGAATATGCTTATCCTATGTGATGTAGGTGTAAACTCAAAAGGGTCCGGGACAGAGAGAACAAATCAAATAAGATCAGAAAAGGAGGTTGCGCAGGCAATAAAAAATGATCACCAAGTCACGGGGTCTGAAGACTCCAGTGCTCATCCTGTGAACGTGACTGGGGGTGCGCTGAAACGAAGACCCCTACATCAAGCTGCGATGATGGACAGGGCGTGGTACGTCACCTTTTTGCTTCATTGTCAAGCGGTTGATGATTGATGTTGCTTTTGTTGCAACTGTAAACTTTTAAGTTTAAACGTTACCTTTTCTCGCCGATTATTGTATTGTGAAATGGGTATGCTGAAAAAAGATTAATGGGTGGTGGTGGTGTGCACTCCCTAACCTCCTGAACTCTGTTTAGGAGTTATAAGTAGAATACATACTGCATGTCAAAGGTAGGTTCTCAATCTTCATGTGACAAGGAATGCAGCATTAGCAATGTATCTGTCCTCTTATGCCTGAAGGACTTAAATGTAAACTACTATTATGTGGTACAGTATCAGGAAACAGCCATTTATAATTGAAAATATATTTTAATAACTATTATTGTGAGAAAAAGTTTATCATTAGCTGTAATAAACCTGTCAAAATGAATTCATATTAACAAGGGCTTAGTTTTCAAATAGAGAAATGAAACCACACTGAGTGAGAAGAGGGTGATGTAATTATTAAACAAAAGGCATATATAGTGGTTGAGCAAGTCGTGATACTTTTCAATGGAGTACTTGCACCATTGTACAATACACAGACTGGCCCTTTGTGTGCTTTTGGCTCACAGGGCGGACACAGCCCAGCAGACATCATCACCCATGCTGCTTGTGCAGGCAGGCAAGGGTGGCCTGGCCCCCGTGAAGACGTCATTCGGTCTCGCCGGCCCTGCGTCCATTCTAGAATTCCAGCAGTTGGTTCGGCGCCTGCAGAAGGTCAACCAGCAGCAGGCTGACGAGGTACATCAAGTCGTGCAGGAATTAAGGTTCACTCTTACATGGTTGGCAGACAATGGAGGGAGAGGTTTTTGTAGAGGTGAAATAGAAAACTCATTTACGGACTATTCCAAGGAATGGTAGGTTTGAGATAGGAAGCGAATTTGCAGGGATGTTGGGGGGGTCCAATATTACCGCACCTCCGATTTAGCACGGTTGGCTACGTAGGGTGCGAAAGACGTTCAACATACATACATTCGAGTGCAGTCAGGGTTTTCTTAGTATGGGATGGACTGTAGCAGTCGAGGTGTCTTGAGAGTTAATGGATTTGTAGTGGATGAGATGGAGGCATTGATGAAACTGGTTATATAAGGGGTTGGTGACGTATTTTAATGGAAATGTTTCTTGTTTTTTTTACTGTTTTCCCCTATTTCATTAGTGTCGTGTGACGAGTTTATGTATCCATTCAGAACGCTCACAGGATAGTGGATACCCATGTTTTCAAAGCATGGGTCACAGAAGAACAAAGGCACACACAAAACCATGGCTGCCCTCTGTTCTCCCTGGGTATTCTTAAACTTGTTTTTATTTTCTACTTTTATATTTGAATACTTATATGATTATTTGTTGATTTTAAAGTATTGTAAGCATTTCATTCTAAGTTTACTTTAGTTTCATCTTTTTAGTCTCCAAGGCCTACCTCTGCTGCTTGTGATTGCCTCCTTTTCCTGCTTCTTTTAAAGGTCAGTCTTATTAAACACTAGCGGAAGTACCCGGCTTTGCCCGGGTGAAAAATATATTTCTTAAAAACCTTACATATATATACACAGATACTAAGGTATTGTCAAAGCCCGGTGGGCTGTTTGTACATTTCTCCACCAACAAATATAAGAGGCTTTCACAAGTCCAAAAAGTTGTAGAAAGTGTGGGGTAAATAGTTGATGTCGAAAGGTTTCCGAAAATTGTGGTCTCCCCCCCCCCCCCTCAAAAAATATCTTTACCCCTCGTAGGTATATATACTAACAACACCTTACATACAACAGAGGAAGTGGTATCTATTGACTCTGTAGTAGTATCTACTGAGCCATGTGTAGCTACTGACTGTGTAGTAGTATTTAGTGACTGTAATAACTACTGACCATAGTAGTATTTACTGGGCCTACAGTAGTATCTACAGACTATATACTCGTAACGACTAACTGTATAGTATCTGCTGACTCTATAGTTGTATCCACTGACTATAGTAGTAACTACAAAATCTATAGCAGTATCTACTCACTCTATAATAGTATCTACTGACTCTAGTAGCTACTCACCGTAGCAGTATGTACTGACTGTATAGTAGTATATACTGACTGTAGCAGTATTGACTGACTGTAGTGGTATATACTGACTGTTTTAGTATTTACTATAGCGGTATCTACCAACTCGATAGCAGTATCTACTATCACTACAGCAGTGTATACCGACTGAGGTCGTACCTGCTATCACTACAGCAGTGCATACTGCTGTGTTGGTACCTGTTATGATGACAGCAGTGCATATTGTGGTGGAACCTGCTATGATTACAGCAGTGCATACTGCTGTGGTGGTATCTGCTATGATTACAGCAGTGCATACTGCTGTGTTGGTACCTGCTATGATTACAGCAGTGCATACTGCTGTGGTGGTATCTGCTATGATGAGAGGAGTACATATTGTGGTGGTGGTACCTGGTATGATAACAGCAGTGCATATTGACTGTACTCATCATTCACCCTCACCATTCACCACTCACAACTCACCCTCACCACTCATCCTCACCACTCACCACTCCCACTCACTATTCACCATTCACCCTCACAACTCACCAACCTCCCTCACCAATCTCCCTCACCACTCACCCTCACCACTCACCCTCACCACTCACCAATCACCACTCACCCTCACCACTCACTCTCACCACTAACCCTCACCACTAACCCTCACCACTCTCACTCACCACTCACTCTCACCATTCACCCTCCCCATTCAGCCTCACCACTCACCCTCACCACTCACCCTCACCACTCACCGTCACAACCACCACTCACCCTCACCACTCACCCCTCACCGCTCACCACTCACCCATCACCACTCACAACCGCCACTCACCCTCACCACTCACCCTGACCACTCACCACTCATCCTCACCAATCACACCCTCACCAATCACCACTCACCCGCACTGCTCACCCTCACCACTCACGCTCACCCTCACCACTCACCCCTCACTAATCACCACTCATAACCGCCACTCACCCTCACCACTCACCACTCACCCTCAACACTCACCCTCACCACTCACCGTCACCACTCACCCTCACTACTCACCACTCATCCTCACCAATCACACCCTCAACAATCACCACTCACCCTCACCACTCACCCTCACCACTCACTCTCACCACTCACCCTCACAACAACCACTCACCCTCACCGCTCAGCACTCACCCTCACTACTCACCCTCACCACTCACCACTAATCCTCACCAATCACACCATCACCAATCACCACCCACCCTCACCACTTGCCACTCACCCTCATCACTCACCCTCACCACTCACCCTCACATAAACCACTCACCCTCACTACTCATCCTCACCAATCGCACCCTCACCAATCACCACTCACCCTCACTGCTCACCCTCACCGCTCACCACTCAACCTCACCCTCACCACTCATGCTCACCCTCACCACTCACCTCTCACTAATCACCACTCACAACTGCCACTCACCCTCCCCACTCACCCTCACCAATCACCACTCACCCTCACCACTCACCCTCACCATTCACCCTCACCACTCACCCTCACCATTCACCCTCACCACTTTCCCTCAGCACTCTCCCTCACCACTCATCCTCACCACTCATCAGTCACGCTCACCACTCACCCTCACTACTCACCACTCACCCTCAACACTCACCCTCACCGCTCACCACTCACCCTCACCGCTCACCACTCACCCTGACCACTCACCACTCATCCTCACCAATCACATCCTCACCAATCACCACTCACCCTCACTGCTCACCCTCACCGCTCACCCTCACCACTCACCCTCACCACTCACGCTCACCCTCACCACTCACCCCTCACTAATCACCACTCACAACCGCCACTCACCCTCACCACCAACCCTCACCACTCACCCTCACCACTCACTAATCACCTCTCACAACCGTCACTCACCCTCACCACTCACTCTTACCACTCACCCTCACCACGCACCCTCACAACAACCACTCACCCTCACAACAACCACTCACCCTCACTACTCACCCTCACCACTCATCCTCCCCAATCACACCCTCACCACTCACCCTCACTGCTCACCACTCAACCTCACCACTCACGCTCACCCTCACCACTCACCCTCACCACTCACCCTCACCACTTACCACTCACCCTCACCACTCACTACTCACCCTCACCACTCTCCCTCACCACTCTCCCTCACCACTCTCCCTCACCAATCACCACTCACCCTCACCACTCACTACTCTCCCTCACCACTCTCCCTCACCACTCTCCCTCACCACTCTCCCTCACCAGTCACGCTCACCACTCACCACTCACGCTCACCACTCACCCTCACTACTCACCCTAACCACCCACCACTCACCCTCAACACTCATCCTCACCACTCACCCTGACCACTCACCACTCATCCTCACCAATCACATCCTCACCAATCACCACTCACCCTCACTGCTCACCGTCACCGCTCACCCTCACCCTAACCACTCACGCTCACCCTCACCACTCACCCCTCACTAATCACCACTCACAACCGCCACTCATCCTCACCACTCACCCTCACTACTCACCACTCATCCTCACCAATCACACACTCAACAATCACCACTCACCCTCACCACTCACGCTCAACACTCACCCTCACCACTCATGCTCACCACTAACCCTCACCACTCACCCTCACCACTCACTAATCACCTCTCACAACCGTCACTCACCCTCACCACTCACTCTTACCACTCACCCTCACAACAACCACTCACCCTCACTACTCACCCTCACCACTCATCCTCCCCAATCACACCCTCACCAATCACCACTCACCCTCACTGCTCACCACTCAACCTCACCACTCACGCTCACCCTCACCACTCACCCTCACCAATCACCACTCACCCTCACCACTTACCACTCACCCTCACCACTCACTACTCACCCTCACCACTCTCCCTCACCACTCTCCCTCACCACTCACCCTCACCAATCACCACTCACCCTCACCACTTACCACTCACCCTCACCACTCACTACTCACCCTCACCACTCTCCCTCACCACTCTCCCTCACCAATCACCACTCACCCTCACCACTTACCAGTCACCCTCACCACTCACTACTCTCCCTCACCACTCTCCCTCACCACGCTCCCTCACCACTCACCACTCACGCTCACCACTCACCCTCACTACTCACCCTAACCACCCACCACTCACCCTCAACACTCACCCTCACCGCTCACCACTCATCCTCACCACTCACCCTGACCACTCACCACTCATCCTCACCAATCACATCCTCACCAATCACCACTCACCCTCACTGCTCACCCTCACCGCTCACCCTCACCCTCACCACTCACGCTCACCCTCACCACTCACTAATCACCTCTCACAACCGTCACTCACCCTCACCACTCACTCTTACCACTCACCCTCACCACTCACCTTCACAACAACCACTCACCCTCACAACAACCACTCACCCTCACTACTCACCCTCACCACTCATCCTCACCAATCACACCCTCACCAATCACCACTCACCCTCACTGCTCACCACTCAACCTCACCCTCACCACTCACGCTCACCCTCACCACTCACCCTCACCACTTACCACTCACCCTCACCACTCACACTCACTCTCACCACTCACTCTCTCCCTCACTACTCACTCTCTCCCTCACCACTCACTCTCTCCCTCACCACTCACTCTCTCCCTCACCACTCTCTCTCCCTCACCACTCACTCTCTCCCTCACCACTCACTCTCTCCCTCACCACTCACTCTCTCCCTCACCACTCTCACCACTCTCACCACTCTCTCCCTCACCACTCTCTCCCTCACCACCACTCTCCCTCACCACCACTCTCCCTCACCACTCTCACCACTCTCTCCCTCACCACTCTCTCCCTCACCACTCTCTCCCTCACCACTCTCTCCCTCACCACTCTCACCACTCTCTCCCTCACCACTCTCCCCCTCACCACTCTCCCCCTCACCACTCTCCCCCTCACCACTCTCTCCCTCACCACTCGCTCTCTCCCTCACCACTCACTCTCTCCCTCACCACTCACTCTCTCCCTCACCACTCTCACCACTCTCACCACTCTCCCCCTCACCACTCTCACCACTCTCTCCCTCACCACTCACTCTCTCCCTCACCACTCACTCTCTCCCTCACCACTCACCACTCTCACCACTCTCTCCCTTACCACTCTCCCCCTCACCACTCTCCCCCTCACCACTCCTCACCACATCCTTCACCACGCTCTCTCCGCTCACCACTCACTCCTCTCCCTCACCACTCACTCCCTCACCACGCTCTCACCCTCACCACTCTCTCCCTCACCACTCTCCCCCTCACCACTCCTCACCCCTCACCACTCCTCTCCCTCACCACTCCCCCCCTCACCACTCATCCCCCTCACCACTCTCCCCCTCACCACTCTCCCCCTCACCACTCTCCCCCCTCACCACTCTCTCCCTCACCACTCTCCCCCTCACCACTCTCCCCCTCACCACTCTCCCCCTCACCACTCTTCCCCTCACCACTCTCCCTCACCACTCTCCCCCTCACCACTCTCCCCCCTCACCACTCTCCCCCTCACCACTCTCTCCCTCACCACTCTCCCCCTCACCACTCTCCCCCTCACCACTCTCTCCCTCACCACATGTTAAGCGCGATCCTAAAGGAATCTACAACCTTCGATGATTCCTTTGCGCGATTCAAAGAATCGATTCCTGGCGCATAGGAGGTTTCCATTTTTAATTACAGAGTTTTATTTTCATTGTTATGTTATGTTTTAAAGTTTTCAGGAGTTTTTAATTATATTTTAGCCCCAGTCAACGCCGGATATTTCCCATTCGTAGCAGTTTATATCAACTCTATAACCAACATTATTAAACGGAAATAAGGCGATTCTAAATGAATCTACAACCTTCGATTCCTTTTCGCGATTCAGAGAATCGATTCTTGGCGCGGTCGGGTTTATAATTTAAATTACACAGTTGTATTTTCATTGGTATGTTACAATAATACTGTCTAATCGCTATAATTTTATTATCTACCGACCCTATAATAGTAATTGCACACATTGGGGTGGAAGGGGAGTGAAGAGGACGTGAAACTTTGATGAATTTACCTCAGAGTCGCGTGTTAATGCGTGCGCATATTTGTAACGGGAATTCAAAATGGCGTCCACCCCATAGCGAAGTTGTTGCTACCCGTTGCCAGGGGCAACCGCCGTGGTCCTCGCCGGCCGGCAATATTAAATAAATAAATACTTATATAACTAAATAAAGAGCAATCACACTAAATCGATAATCGGTCCGATTTAAAGTTTAGAGACGAAAAATCGGAAATGCCTAAGTTTACCGCGGGCCGGGGGCGTGCCCACCTGCAAAATTTAATCTCGGCGAACCCCACGGTCCGAGAGCTAAATTCCCCGGAAGGGAGCGTACGCAGACGGACAAACAGACAGACAAAAAATGAATTATATAGGTTAGATATTCACATCTTATTTTCCTTTTTGTTCACTTTCAATGTTTCATTCACTTTACAGTTTTAATATGTATTTCATTTATTTTAAATTCAGATAACTTTAGCCATTTCATGATCCTCTGTCAGGCCTATTCTACACTGCTTGCTCTATGCTATATTTTCAAGTTATGCTTAAGTCGAGAAAAAACGACAAACTCCTTCCCCCTCCTCCCGTGCCTATATAAAGCCACAACAGCAGATAATTTTCTCACCTGAAGACGGACGCTTGTGTTGCGACCGAAACGTCGTGTTTTCTTTTATTTATTTTTCTATCTACGTGACTTTACCGAAAGAACCAGAGAGTACAGAGTATAATTAACTCTTGTGTAAATTTAATGGCAATGAATCTTGCACAAAAGAATGCCATATTAAGTTATTTTTCAGATATCCAGTAGGGGTGGGTCAGAAAGTTGCAACAACAAACAAAATACGAAAAAGTATAGGAAAGGTAAGCAAATCGCTCTAAATAAATAATTATATTAGTTTAAATTGCATAATGTATATGTAATAGTATGATATCGAATCACGTTTGCTTGCATGGTCTCTATGATCCAGTGTATTCTGATTTTCAGCAAGGCCATTCTATGAAAACGCCTCTTTTATATGTGGCCAATGACCTAGTCTCTTAATACACACGAGATGTATCTTACCACACACCCTACTGCAGACATTTAATTGCACGGCAGTCTCAGGGCTGGACTCTATCTAAATTAAGTGATAAACAAAATTTAACATGATTATATTTACTGTGGACACCAGTGACTGGGATGACTGTCAACTTCACTTTACTTGAAAATCTGTTCAATTCAAACCCAGGATCTCAGCTGTGCTGGTTCGAGTACACGGACCTCTGTACCACCTGGGCCACCTCTTGTAATGATAACCTGAATCTATGGATGACCAAATCCTTACCTGCTTGGTCTGGCTGCTCTCCTGAAAATCAATGGTTGTCCTCACTTCCCATCTCTTCAGCTGCTGCAGCTGAAGACGAAGCTGAGGAATGCTGCCATTGCAGACAGGCTGCCTGCCAACTCCGTGCTTGTGGCCAAGCCTCTGTTCTCCAGCCGTTCAAATGAGCAATGGTACCAAGCAGATTACAATACAAGTTATTTTAGCTCAGACTTCACAGCCTTCCCAATTCCAGTTATTAACACACCAAAGTGAGGGTGTGTGTTTTTTATCTCCATACAATATAGATTTAAACTAGCTTTCGTATAGATGTTATGTTGTATCGTATTGGTGTGTAGTCAGCGTGGAGGGCGATCGCTGGTATTACACGATAGGCCACAGGCAAAAATCACACCAGCAGCCACGTGGTATGGGTGCAAGTCGTTTCAATGCAAATTCAATGGCTTTCTTCCATCAAGGGGAAAACTCACCAGCAATGTCACCCATGAGAAGTGCACACAGGTGTGCTCACATCCCGTCCTCCACCTCCTATGCCCCTCTACGTGGGATCGCACGAGACCTAGTTAGTCTTTTATTTAGCCCTACACCTAGACTAGATGCAGACTTTCTGCTGCAACACATTCCGAACAGTAGAGACGGAGTTGAGTGAGCAACAGGACAAAGTTAGGTGGGTTTTATTTATCAATTCACATTCCTTTTTGTCAATCCATCCCTGGATGAGGGCATCCCTAAAATGTGATTAGTCTTATTTGACCACGTTTCACAGTGCTGGTCAGTGCAGGTAGGTGAGAGGCATAGCCGTGGAAGCATAGGACAGCAACATTTCTGTAAAAACAAAATGATTCACGCTGCTCCCACACACTCCATCCCACTGGGCTGGACAGATAACATCTGCCTTGGGTTATATAAATTCACCATCAGATGCAGCCAATTGAAGTAATGATGGCTTAACTGATGAAACATTCCACTTTTTATTCAACTGAGGTGTTCAATGGCATTTCAAAAATCATTGGCAGGTTACTGGGCATTACCTAGTTTAAATTTTGCCCGAGCCCTGGACAGGTGATTTTGCAACTTGAAAAGCAGTGCTACTTTTATTCATTGTCTTCAACTTTTGCAGGCAAACAACCAACAGACTACCTAAAATACCCATCAAGAATCCAGTCAAAAAAATGTAAGTTGGGCAAAAAACAAACCATAATGGACCTTTATTATCATTATGTAAAAGATTATAAATACAAATTCCAAGTGAAAAAAATATGCACATAACCATATACCTACCTAGGCTTTTGTGTTCAGCAATGAAAGGTAGTTAATGATCTATGCAATTACAAAACATCTCTGCTAGCCTTCATTACTGCCAAGCCATTGCTTTCAGAATATTTATTTATCCTGGAGGAATCTGATGAGCTGTGAAGCTCTTTCACAGATGTCCAGTAGGGGTGGGTCAGCAAGTTACAAGCTTTCTCATGCCTCTCTCCAAATTACAACAGCCATGTTATGTACTTTTGTTTCACAAATGGTATTCCATAATTATACAAATAGTAGAGTTTGAGGCACACCCAAGTGATTTACAAAAAAAGTGTTATTCAATAGCAAGATCATAACCCATCTTCAGTGAATTGATCCTGGTGCCAGGATAATGTCACTTTCAACAGTGGAAGTGTACCCAATCTTGGGGATTTCACTCACACGTCTCGATGCTCTGCTATTTACATTCCTCCCCTTCACGACAGGCCTCTGCGAACAGAACCCAAGCTGTCCCTGCCTTCACTTGTGCAGCCGCTCAGAAGGGAGGTTGCACAGGATGGCAGCGAAAAGGACAGCCAAAAGATGCTGCCCAGCTAAGAATACAAAAACGTTGCATGTAATAGCACACGTTTCGAAATGCAATCACCTAATTGTCCCCCAGTTTAATACAAGATTAACGTGTTTCTTTACATTTGTCATTTATATTCTTGAAAACACTTGATAATGTTCACCATATTGTGCAAGCGTTATCAGTTCTTTCAAACAAATGGGGGGATTTGAAAATTAAAGGAAATATTTATGTACAATTGTTGCACATGGCATCCATGGTGCCGGTGCAGTGTTGCGTTCATGCACATTATATACTCTGATCAATGCCAAATGTGGCCTTTTCAGAGTAGAGTGGTATATTTTATGCCACTGTAGTGGAGTGTTAAGTGATAAACTATTACGTCTAAATCATACATTTGATTTGCACAGCATTTGTAAGCAATGCAATAAAATGCTGGAGCATGTGTTTCTGCTTAAATTCTGATGGCCTATGTTGTGTTAAAATTGTCATTTAAAGTGAAAACAACAATAATAAAAATATGCTGACATGATGAGCCAAGTCTATCATGATTGTACGTCTAATCATTCGATGTAACGCTGCAGTTGCCATCAAGAAGAGGTAACACAGACCCATCAAGTTGTACTTGTAATACAGTATATTATTCATATTTCTGTTAACTGCCCCCGACTGGAAACACTCAATTTTCACAGTAAGCATATACCAAGTACATCAAACAGACGCTGGATGCAGGTGAGAGTTAGGTGAGCGTGAGGCAGGCTTGCCGTACGCTCAGCGCCCAGGCATTGAGTATGGCTGTCACCGCATGCCGGTCGGGCAGCTTCATGATGCGCGACTCCAGCATGTCGTGAATGGCACGCAAGAACGGGCTCGTCCTCTGTCACCAACAGACAAACAGTCCCATCATGACCATTCCTCCCCCGAACCCCCAAATACACTCACATCAGTTGCACATGAGACATGAATCACGTTGCCCTCATTTGTATCCATTGCACATGTACAGCCCTTGAGTCAACCGCTGCTGGATGAGGGCCTGCCCATGCCATGCAGGTTTAACGAAGTTACTTGACTATACTTCGGCATGTTGGTCAGTCCGGGTTGGCGAACGGAGAAAATATAGAGGAATTAATAAGTGCAACGATGGGATTTGCTGCACTCCCCTCTGCTGCCCACAACGTAGCTGCGCAGTCCCATAATGCTCGCTATGCATGGCAATCACCCAACCAAGCATTATCCAGGCCAAAATTCTCGCTTAGCTTCAGAGATGATCTGAGAAAATCCCCTGAAATGCACCTGAATCATCTTCTCAGCTACACACGAACGAGTGATCCATTTGCAAAACACATTGCCCTTCTATTATAAATAACGAAATGTCTCTGTATAGCAGCCTCACCGTAGAGGTTTTGGAGGTCAACCCACTCGGGGCTCTGGTCAGGATAATCAGCCGGCACGCTAATTTGCAGGGGAGGCACCATTGGAAGAGACTTATCATCTGCAATAAAAAAAAATGTGCGTGTGTAAATGCAGCATATAGCAAAAACCATTAGAATATTCACTCTGCTCCGATCTGAAGGCAAGTGTCAGATGAAGATGGCAATAATAGACCTAATCACAAGAATAGATTCCAGCTACAGTTTACTATCTATTCCTGATTTGGGTTGCAGATAAACAGTGCTTATTGGTGCCTTTTACATGCACGCTGACGTAATTATCAGCTGCTCCTCACATCAGGGACAGTGACTCGTTGACCATATGACTGCAACCATATCAGCAAGTAAACCGATTACTTTAAGAAACAATTAAAACATGACACATAGGGTATGAACACAATACTTTTTTGCTTAATTTGCATTGATGCATTATGTTTTTTCTTTTATCCAGGCACTCTTCTCATTACCCCAGATAACACAGCCTTAAAATGTTACTTCATAGAGGACATTGAAAACCATGTTTTTATCAACATGTACAAATAAGTCTCAATAATACAGGCAGTCCCCAGGTTACGGAAGAGTTATGTTCCCGAAAACGATCCGTAAAGCGAATTTTCTGTATGTTGGAAATTGGAAAACGTTCTTCCTAAATCAAGATGAAATTCCATAGCTGAAAACAGTTGTGCCTCCCCTACCCGATTACTTGTTAGTTTTCTCTAAGTTCTGTATCACACTCGTCTGTTTTATATCGCTACCTATATTGCTGTATATACGCTCTGCACTTCCTATGATTATTTAAATTAATCGAATATCTACCCTAACACTACCCGTAATTAAACTAATGGAACACATACTGTATCCATTTGTTTATGAATACCACGAAACATTTTAATATTAATTGTTAACAGAAAGCAGTCACTTCCGAATGTTTGTTTACAGTGCATTAGGCTAGGCCTAGACTTCTCCGATCGCTGTTGGCTGAGAACATAAGCAATCGAAGTGTAATTGCGTTTAATAAAGTACATACACTAAATAATTAAATAAACTTCACATGAAGAAAACTACGAGACGATGTGGCGGGTATACACATGGTAACATTGCAACAGCGTGACTGAGTGACAGAGTGCAGAGCGGCTAACCACCAGCGCCTTAGGGGGGAAGATGCTGCCTGCCTTACGCCTCGCTCCACAGTATTCATCCGCTCCCTCAGTGCACTGCACTACTTGCACTTGCCGAACTAACGCAACAATTTCCGCATATTGATTTTTTCTACATGATTTCTGGGAGCATTTCCATAAGGTTCGGATTTCCCTAAGCGCCACAACCCGTAGATCTACTGTATTCCATGTGAAAGTGTTCAATGTTTACTCACCAAGCTTGCATATCAGGTGGACCGTTCCATTGTTACTGTGATGGGAGGGGTCCAGGTTAACCATGAATTTTGGATGTAGCCTGGCCACCTCCCCCTGCAGGACGTTTGGTATGGTCTGCTTCTCATCCTCCTCGTACTTGCGCTTCTTGGGGGATGACACTGGCACCCTGTCCGCAGAGCAGCAGCAAATTTAAATTACAGCATAGACCAGCTTTTCATACAATTTAAGCACTAATTATTCAACCCTCAACCCTGCTTAGCTTCCGATAAGTGACGAGATCGGGTGCATTCTTGGAAATTTGGTTATAGGCTGATATATATATTTTTTTCCAGCCAAAGCAACATTGAGTCTTGGTCAAGTGTAGCGGCTGGGACTTCCTGCTTACGCGACAGGCGGCCCGTGGATAGCCAGCATGGCGGGGCCGAACGTTCGTGCCAGCGAGTGGTTGAAGAGGGGCGAGCGGCTTTGCTGCAGCACGGCGGTAAGCAGCGGCTGGCATAAGGGCGCCTGCTTGTTGGGCGGCACCACCTGGGGTGGCGGAGGTGTGGGCTGCAAGCAAACGCAAGTGTGCACACACACACGTGCAATAAACGTGTACGGTAAACACTGACATTTTGAGAATACAACTGGAAACGTATCGATCTAATGTTATGCTCATTTTTAAGCAACTTAATACGCCAATGATTTTAAAGGTTATCAAGTAAAATCCATCCACTTCATGTGTGCACACAGTTTTATATGCCATAATCATGTATAAACCACCCATCATAAACAAAATGCTACATTATTATAGTCTGTAGACACACATACAATGTGCAGTGAGCAAAATATGCATGAGAGGCCATAGTAAAAGTGACCAACTTGACACAAAGTAAATAAGTGGTGTTAGCATCATTTCACAGCCTTAGTCTTTCCCTCCATTCAATCAAAAATGCTTATATAAACGTTAACATGCTGACATTCCATATATAACATGCGGCTGGCTGCGATACAGGCATTCTCATGTGGCTAAATAAATCCACAAACACGAAGAACAAGAACTACACAATGTGTCAGTTGCACATAATATTTATAAAGATTCTCTTACAACGGCCATGTCGCTCTTCAGTTTCTCCAGCGCGAGCTCACACTTCTGCAGTGTCTGCAGGGAGCACCTGTGAGTCACGACACAATGCTTGGTCATTCCCAGCTCAGATTAGAAATACACTCATCGAAACAAAGAGCCAAGACAAATGCTCAATGAAGCAGTGAGGGCCAAACAGACAAAACGTAAGACGTAGGCAGCACTCACCGCTTGTTAGGGTCCGTAAGAATGTCCAGAAGGCTTTTCATTTTGCTCAGATCCTTCTTACGGTCTGTTTTTGCAACTCGGACAAAGCCATACATCACTTATGAGCAAAGGCTTATTGTAATAGATTTTGTTTGACAACAATGAAGCTACTGTTAACTCTTAATTATCCATGGGAAGATCATACAGGTTGAGGATTAACTGTGCTTGTGAAATATATATATTCGTATATGCATGCTGATACTATGTGCCGATCCTCACTCTTGACTAAATGTCCACATTACCATAAACGTTCTACATAGGTAAGCAAAACAAATGTTTTTAGCTGAATTTACTTCAGTTTTGTCTTATCCATGTTATTGTAACCATGCCACCCCTCCTCTCCATTGCCTTGCATAATTGAGAGCTGAATGTACTAATTATGACTTACATTTAAATATAACTGCTTATAACTAAGCTTTCCAAATTAATGACAGCAGTACAAAACAATGTTACATATATCGGATACACATTGCTAAACATCACTATCATTATTATGATGAAATGTATTTTAAAACATCAAGTATTTTAGGTTAATTTTGCACTCATTTAACAAAGATTATAAAAAAACATTAGAATTGCAATCTTTAGCATCAAGCAGTCGCTATGAAATTAAGCAGTGGCACATGCCTGCTATCCAGCCCTTTGTAAGCAGATTAGATGAAACCTCAAACCAGCTGGGCTGTGAGATGTCCAAAAGGCAGTACAGAAAAGGGGATAACATAGCAACCCAGCTGTGTGGACTTTTTCAGTCGAGCTTTTCCACGTATTTCACCTTCAGGTTAAAAACAAAAACGTGGCCAAATAATCCAATGCCGGACCCTTCTACAAGAAAATGGCGAGACATCATGCCTTTTGTGGTTGCAGACAAACAGTTCTCTGCTAGTTTAATGAAATTTTCCCCACTTTTCAATGTACCAACCATTAATATGCTCATGAATGCATTATGTATGTTCATTGATGTATGTTGAACTTATTTCGCGCCATACATAGCCAACCATGCTAATCGGAGGTGCATTATTTCAAGTGGTGACTTTCGTTTCATTATGATAATTATTATGACTGAACCATGAAGTCTACAGCAGAACTACAACAGCAGCCGTGTGCCTCACCCTCGTTCTTGTCGATCTTGTTGATCATGCGGCGCAGCGGGTCGATGTACTTGGACAGCTGTCGCAGCTTCTCCAGGTACTGCTGCTCCTCCGTCTGCGTGCGCCCCGCCGGGCTCGGTGCACCTGTTGGTCCCACGATGCGCCGTTACCGGATCAACTCCCCAGTAAATGAATGGAACTATTTTATAACATACACACCAACGGATTCATTCAATGCACGATTTTACTCTATGAGAATCATTGGTGGTGATGAGCATCGGCCCTGCTGAGCCTGCCCTGGGACTCGCCGGTGCTGCCTTGGCTGCCGATGAGATTCCTTGGGGGTCCTAGTTGCTTCATGCCCTTGCACTTGGCCTTGTTGGCCCCGAGTCATGCTGTGGTGGTTGCTCTCTCTTCCCTTTTCTGTATGTCACTGTCCTCAACCTGCCACCCCCCCCCCCCCCGTCCCTCTCCTTCCTATTTCACTTTCTTCCTCAATGCTATCTCCAACTTATGCTGTTCATCTTGACCGGACCGGTAAGGCTGGAGCACTGAGACAGGTCCTTTTTCTTCAAGCATGTGTCTCCCAGAGTTACCATTTGATCAATTTGGTTCGTTTTCTACTGGGTAACCACATAATAGCAACACAACCTTATACTGAAAGTTTGGTCATATTGGATCATCTTTACAAAAAGGTTATCATGCCAGCAAATGGATAATTGCTTTCAAATAAGTTGCATTTTTTAAATGTACAATTACCTCTTGCCAAACGTTGATTGTAAGGACAGGGGCTACAACAGCCGTAAACAAATCTGCCATTACACAACTTTGTCTAAATGTGCTAAATACATTTTGTGTAAACTAGGTAAAGGCCAGAGCAGTGCATCAGGCCTTTGTAAGTCATAACTCTCCTTCCGACTGGCTGCACAGCGTAACTTATCCTGGGTGTAGTGTATTTTTTGCGTGGTTTGTCTTCACCAGTTTTTCTATTGTTGCCGGCGCAGTGCTCACCTGGGGTGTTGAGGGGCCCCGGGGACTGCACGCCCATGGCCTGCGGGGTGCGAGCGGGCGCAGGGCTCTGGGACGGTTGCGGGGATGGGCTAGGCATGAATCCAGGAGATGGTACTGCCCCAGAGCTGGGTTACACATGCAAGCGGTCACGGCAGGGAACATGATTAAACATCGCGGGGCACACATTAGGTTTTTATGTACCGCATTTTCCCCGATTATAAAACATGCTATTTTTCCTGTACCTTAAAGCTAAATTTGGCGGTGCGTTTTATAATTCCGTAGATGTGCAACCACATTTATATTACTTTATTGACACTGGGCACAAGTTTGGGAGTATACGGTATGTCATATTTGCAGTCGGTAACGCACAGTGCTATGAACCCGGTGACATAGGTTCGGTTTCCAGCCATGGTTATCATCAGTGGCGAGTGATAATTGAACTTGTTATGGGCCCTCTTATTTAAAAAAACACACTAAAAAAATTCACATAATCCACGAACCTCTGCCTCCAAAGCAACACATGTATGCGTTCGCAACCAAAATTATTGACTTATAAATACCTCTAATATGGTTTATTTTCACGAAATTGGACTATGATGGTCCTTATATGTATGGGCCGAATAGAGTTGTGTGGCTCGTATTGTACCCAACAACATTTGCTTCGATAGACAAAATGTTGAAACAATGAACCAGGCAATGATCTTAAGCTGAGCCTACCAAGAAGAACCTTGGCCAGGTTCAGATATCAATTTCCATTGCTGTTGTGCAGTGCATAGCCAGGCATCAAATCCAGGGTCACAGTCCTCCCAGCACGGCATTACCATTACACTATCGGTTCTGACTCTAATGTCAACACACATACAGCGTGTCGTAGAAATAACAGGCTAATTCACGGGTGAGGTGCCCCAGTATATCCGGCGTTCTCTCTTTGAAGACCAAATTTATCCCACTTACAGCTTGTGATTTTAGAGTGTTCAACAATATGTATTATATTAAAACACTTGGAGGATAATAACATTAACATATAACGTTTAATGTGTTTTAATATATATTCCAAGTACTACATATGAAAGTGTGATACAGTAATCACTAAACAAAATACAGACACGATCTGTATTGTACTGTACAGTACAATACGAAACGAGGTTTGACTGGTGTGTGATGTTATCGTGCGGAGTGGAGACGCAGATAACAACAAGTCAGCATTTGCCGTTCAAGTTTTGCACTTCGGGAGTGCAGTTTCCGATAATTAAAAAAATGTTGTCGTCTCCAAAAACACCCAATATATGCGAGACGTCGTATATCTACCCACATTATTTCTCAGAACACACTACACTGTGAACAAAAACAGACGCAGGCTGTAGAGCACGGCAGCTGCCCCCACGCCGGTACCTCATGTTGCTGGGAGGCTGGCTCTGTGTGGACTGTGGCGATGGCTGTGGCTGGGAGGGCGGAGGCGGCATCACCTGATTCTGAGCCGGCACCGGCGACGGACTCGACATCATCAGTGGAGACTGGATCATCTGCTGCAATCGAGACGGCAGAAACAAAAACAATTCTCGGAAATTTTCCGCACGCACTACAACACCGCAACCACCGTCAAAAAGAAAAGGAGCAATTTAACGTGTGGAATACGGAAGGGCGACAAAAAAAAAAACACAACTTTGAAGGGGAGATACTCGTAAAAGCAACGTGGTCTAAATATTATGGTTCGCAGAATTTCATATTTATGTATGAAAATCCATATAGTATAGAAAATCAATGTGAGTCGTGAATGTAGAAGAATAAGAAACATAAATGTGAATCTGTGTACACATTTTATATGCCTTTCTCAAAATATGATTATGGCCCAATGTGTGTGCGAAATAAATAAAGAACAATCATGCGCCAAATGATTATTTGCTTTCCCTGTTTAAAGGCCATTGTTTGACCAAAATATATATACTCAATTAAACACTTTGCAGATGCAGAAATTAGCATCGCTGATGGGGAAAACAGACCCCACCCCACCGTAAAAAAGGGCGATCTCCATATTCGGAATATCTATCGTTGGTTAAATAAAATAAATGGAATTTGACGTGATAGCCAGGAGGTGCGGCACTGGTGCCTTAAGGGAATTGTTATTGCTACAATATACGGAGAAAATTACAGAGCCAAGCATGAAAAACAGACTAACAGCCAGGTATAAACACAGAAAAAAAAACACTTTAAAATACATGCAAACATGCAGGGTGACATAATTAATGAATGAAAGTATAGGCCATGTGGTCTTAATAAATTTCATACACAACTAAGTCCTTGTTAACTTAAAGAGGTATTGGCAAAAAAGTAGGTTGGTTCTCAGGAATTACTACTATAATTGCCCAGAAATGTGTGTAACGCGCGTGATGTCACTCCACATGCCTTACAGAAAGTGACGGTCAAAGATAAATCTACGCCGGAGCAGTCCTACATCCGTACGTGACGTCACCGCAAAAGAGCACCCCCCCCCCCCCCCCCCCGTCATTACTATCATAAGCAATAAAAAATGTTACGCAAATTCGCTCTAAATTTGACGTTTCTTTATTGAAATTTACTATAACTCTACGCAGACGTTTCTTTACGTAAATATTACAGCTTCCGTCCTAGGATGGGCAAAAGGCTAGTTGCGGTAGATTAGGACAGGGAATAGCGAGACTTTCACACACAGGGATGCAAACCTGACGCATGCTGCTGGAGATGCAGAAGAATACCGCTAACAGCCATAACGACGGTTGGTCAGATAATCACGGTTTGGTCGAACAGCAAATCACTCCGACAAGATGCTTTGAAATTAATACAGAAGTGGTAGACCACTGCAAGTTGTGTATGAAAACACTATCATAAAATACAATTCTTAAAAATAAATTCTAAAAACTGGTCATAGGAAAACAATGGGAAACTGGCCAAACATTTGACAAAACAACACAGGCGGCAGTGCCTTGCCCCTTCGTGCGACGGAGAGAGTAAAACGCCCTTCTTATCCGTGAGTCTACATCAGCTCGCCAGCGTGCTGGTCCGAGCTCCTCAAACATGCGCGTGCATGCGTGTACCTGTGTGCTCGATTGGGCCCCCATTGATGGAGGAGCAGAGCTCTGGGTATAGCCCCCCGAGGAGGGGGGTGGCGGAGTTGATGATGGGACAGACACCCCTGAAGGAAACCTCTGGGGACGGGGGCCCCCAACGGCAGTTCGGTTCAACCCAATCTTCAGAAGGGTCAGGGGGGATCACGGAGCGGGGATGTGGGGGGGGGGGTGGAATGGGGTGGTGGGGGGCCCGCAAGCAAGTCACGTGATAACAGCTCTCAGCCAAATCACAGAACAGAAAATATGACAAGCGTGCGAGCACACCTTTGGACAAGCAGCAAATTAACAGCGGGAACGGCCCAAGCAACAAACACAAGCGCAAACGCCGAAGGGCACAATAGCACGGAGGATGATCACCATTCGTTCCTGATCAGTGTGTGAAGAGCTCAATTAAAACACAATGACCAATATCCCTAATGAAAGAATGAGCGTTTTTTCAACACCTGTCTGGTACTTTGATCTTTCTTCATGCAAATCTCCAGAGATGCCTGCTTTCTCACATCGGCTTTTTTTGTAACCCCAAAGCAACAGTAGAGAGAGAAGCTCAGTACACACCTGTGGGTTGTGAGCCAATTGCATGCGGATGGGAGGTTGCTGCTGCTGTTGCTGCTGCTGTTGTTGCTGTTGTTGCTGTTGCTGCTGTTGTTGCTGCTGTTGCTGCTGTTGCTGGTGCTGCTGCTGCTGCTGTCGTTGTTGAACCAATATTAAGACACGAGGCAAAGATATAAAAAACACATGGCGCTGCAAGATATTATACTCGTATGACAACAGTGACATGTCTCTGTTGGTGTCATTTTTACTTGATACAGCAAAACGGATAGTACTCGACTTACGAACATAATTGTTTCTTGAGACCCGTTCGAAAATCGAACGGTTCTCAAGTCGGAACACAATAATGTACTGTATTTAAATGCCCATACGGTCAGTGTCGTCATGAAATGTGTTACGGTTCAAATGTGTTACGGTTCAACAAAAAATTGAAGTATTATTGAAGTATTGTTAAAGTACTGTTAAACTCATAAATATGAATAATTGTACATTTGCATGTAATACTGGAATACTGTACCGTAAATAAAACTCACAAAGGCAAATATCCCCCGTATCGCCTGAACAGGCTATTGGGGTAAGTGCTGTTAGCGAGCCGCTTCTATGAAGATGCAGGCTGAGCCAACTTAGGGGAGGCCCAGGACCCATTTAGATAAGCGGCACTGGGTTTGATCATGAGTGGGAATCGAACTCGGGTTGCCGCTGTTGGTAGCGCAGCTCACCAACTGCTACCCTACCGCCTCCCAGACACTTTTACACGCATGCGCGCGCCCACATGCACACACTCATTCCCCACGCGAGACAAACTCATTACATCTCCCTGAACAAAATAGTTCCGCGGTTCAGCTTGCCAAGTCCGAGTTCGTGATTTAGGTCAATGTTTTCCACACCTCCAATTCGCACGGATGGCTGCGTACAATGTGAAAGAAGTTCAACATAGATACGTTCAATGTAAACAAATATATATTCATGGAAGCTGGTTGGTAAGTGCGGGTGTTCATAAATTAGGTGTCCGTAAGTCGGGTACTGTCTGCACTCATAATTGTGTTTTTTTTATCGTCTAAGGCATCAAATCCAATTGGGGACATCTACACCAGAACATACTTTAGAGTATTATAAAAAAAAGTGGCATTTTTTATCATTCAAAATCAAGTTTTTAGGAATCACTGTACCTGAATAGCCCTAATCTGGGCTTGCGCCTGCTGGATATGCTGTGCCTGCTGTTGAATTTGCTGCTGCTGTTGTTGCTGTTGTTGCTGTTGTTGCTGCTGCTGTTGCTGCTGTTGCTGCTGTTGCTGCTGTTGCTGCTGTTGCTGCTGTTGCTGTTGTTGCTGCTGTTGTTGCCCTTGCTGCTGCTGCTGTGCGTTCATGATGCCAGACACGGATCCCGAAACCTGGCCCCCCGCCATGACACTAGTAATGGGCCCACCACCACCGCCACCTGCCTGCTGTACTCCCTGGCCCTGAGACACCACGCCAGGTGAGACAGAAGTCACATTAGAAAATCATCCCCAAATTTCAAGAGTTGCATCATCATTAACATTCATCTCCATACAAGGAGATATTGGTCCTATTAGGGGTTAAATTATTCATACCGACTATAATTACCCAGTCATGTCTGTCCTTAACGCTCGTGACGTCACTCCACATCGAACAGCCCCCCTCATTAATAATCATGAGCAGGTGATGTCCTCCAAATGGACATCCCCCCATTATTACTTAATATAATGAGCAAAGAATGTCTGTGTGCAACGCTTGTGACGTCACTCCATGTCGACCAGCCCCCCTCATTAATAATCATTATAAGGTGACGTCCTCCAAATGGACACCCCCCCCCCCCTTCATAATAATTAGCGGGTGACGTCACTCCACCTGGGGGGCCGAGGCACCTCCTCTCCCCCTCCTCGGCGTCAACTCACAACCCTCACTACAAAGGCAGAACCCTCACTACGTCACGCGACCTCCGTAACGCTGTTGAGACATCAAAGTAAAAAGGACGTCATGATGAACAAATGATTATAACCTTAAAATTAAGTAGGTCTGTGTCACCGTGGCCTTACAAATTGCACGTGCATTGATGCAATGAATATCATGTCGCGGTCTGCTTTTCGCTTGCAAGTTTCAGATTTACTGCAATACACCCGTCCTTGGACGTGCAAAAGGCTAGTAGATTAATATTTACTCAAGCTCTTGAATGGACTCGCATCACCCATGCAGCCACCAGAGACGATCATTCACTGCAATGTGAAAATAATTATTGGAGTTATGACACTGAATGTCGACAATTCATTCAATTTCCCCCACCTCCAATTAGCACGGCTGGCTACGTATGGTGCGAAAGAAGTTCAACGTACATACAATCATGGCGCGGTAGGGGGAAGTGAATCCTTCTACCCCTACCTATAATACTAGAATTCCCCACCCATTGCAAGCAAGATTCGGTTAATGTTTTTATTTTAAAGGTCAACATGCACTGGAAGAGATGTGGGCACCTAAGCTTTAATCAACCACAAGTGTCCGACAGATCAAACAAACCCTCTGAACAACAGTTCTATACTACATAATACCCAAGGTAAACGATTCCGCATCACAAAAAACAAGTCACTCTGCAATCACACTTGTCATGTTGACATAACACAGTAAACCTTTCATGGTGTCACCTGTCCTCCGTGCTGTGCTTGTAGTTGCTGCTGCTGCCGTATCTGCAAGTACTGCTGCTGCTGTTGCATTTGCAGTTGTTGGTGCTGCATCCTCTGCTCAATACAGAAATGTGCATAACAAAGACTGTCAGAACAGATGTATACAACAAGAGATGTGGGCATGCAATAATCTACATGCATAGCCCTTTGACAATCCACTACTCGACGAGGACCTCCCCATGCCATGTAGATCGTTTGGGTTATCTGACCATACCCCATCACGCTGGTCACTGTAGGTATGTTAAGATGTCAGCATAGATATTGGAGCATAGAAGTACGGTACAACGATATATTTTGCTGCACTGCCCTTTGGTAATGACCAGAGCAGTCTCGCAACCGCCTATTCTGGTGTGCAGTGGTTACCTATTCAAGCACGATCTAGGCTCAATCCTACTCAGCTTCCGAGATCTGACGGAAAAAAAATAATTCGGCAATAACACTTCCGTCAAAAAGTTTGAAAATAGGTGACTATTTGTGCAATGGGCCATCGTCACAGCACATAGAGAGGCCAGGGAGGTAGAGTGAGAACTGACAAGATCGATTCGCGATTAGGTGATTTGATCATAAAAACACGTGTGTGTGATGACAAGAATATGTAGATGGGCAAATGGCCAAAGACCAACAGAAATCAAACACTTTTGTTTGCACCTGCTGAATAAGCTGCTTTTGCATCTGCATTTGCTGTTGCTGCTGCTGCTGTTGAATCTGGGCGGCCTGCATGCCCGGCTGTCCCGGTGGCGTTGCGATGCACATTTGTTGAATTGCTGTAGAACAGAAGACACAATTATTACTTGTCAATGTACTTATACAAATACAAAGATCTCCCGTATAGACTCGACACACTTTTGAGGCAAGTGCTGTTAGCAAGCACCTATGAAGGCCGGCAGAGAGTGCTAGTGGGTGATATGGCCAGTACCACTCCTTGCCACCTTTGTCTCCCTACTGCTGATGTTTACACATGGCACCACATAATAATATAAGGCCGAGTTGACCAAGTGAAGCCCCAGGACCGGTTCAGGATATCGCTTTCCACTGATGTTAGCCATGATTGACAATCGAACTCTGGTCACTGGGTTTGTAACGCTTAGCAGTGTGCTAACCATTACACCACCGCTCCCCTCTATAAAGGTACACGCACACAGACGTGTATGCACATAAAAACCTTTTTTCAGACTAATTAAAACTGTTAGAGAAAGTACCTTTAGCTAATATTGACTGCATCTGTTATGACACATGGTGGAGTACTGGCACAAAGGCTCCACCACCTACATTACATTACTATTTAAACTCATATAGCATCTACATGCCACTGAAACTCAAGAAGCTTCACAAAACTTCGCTTCAAACAAATAGAAGTAATAAAACATTGCGCGTGAAAACCTAAAAAAACATCTGGATTAAATATATATGAATGCAATTTTGATTTGAAGCTTTCGTGACTGCAGGAATCCATACTCTTTGGTTCTTTCGGTAAAGTCACGTAGGTAGAAAATTAATAGATCACGACGTTTCGATCGCTACGCAAGCGAGCGTCATCAGGTGAGACAAACACAGCAGGCGGACTGCTGAGGCAAGAGAAATCCGCCTGCTGTATTGTTTCACCTGAGGACGATGGCTTGTGTTGCTATCGAAACGTCGTGATCTATTCATTTTCTATCTACGTGACTTTACCGAAAGAACCAAAGATTACCATATATTAATGCAGTTAACAAAACCTAGTTAACATTTTATTCCACACCAATATGGCGAGAACGGCTGGCAATAGAATGAGTGTGTAGGTAAAAAAAAAAGAAAATACATCCATTTTATTTATTATTCTTTCATTTATTCTTATTCTTTTATTTGTATTATTTTTTACCTACGTGACTTTACCGAAAAAACCTAAGATTATGAATCCTTGCAGTCACGAAAGCTTCAAATCTAGAAAGAATGAGTGTGGCTAGAAGAAATTGCAGAATGAGTGTGGCTATGAGCGCCTCGGAGACTGTAGCACAGCGCACTAACGATCGCCACAGGAATGCCACTCATGCAAACCCGACATGCCACGCATCGTCTCACCCTTACCCTGCTGTTGCGCTGGTGTGGGCATCCGTCCCGAGGGTGCAAGAACTCCACCCATACCCCCAGACTGGGGATGACCCCTCATCCCCTGAGACATTCCCATGACACCAGGTTGACCTTGCCCAGGCTGACCCATGTTGCCCGGCTGAGGCCCCCCCTGGTTAGGCTGTCCCTGAGGCTGTGGAACCGGCATGCGATGCATGGGCCCCCCAGGAACCTGAGGTCGGGGTACCATCATGGGAGGGCCGGGCTGCCCAGGGCCCAGTGGGGCTATGACCTGCAGCGCGTGCATTGGGTCTGCAGGCACAGAGAGGAGGTCAATGCTCATTCACTGCCGAACCTTAAGTTGACATCAGCATAACCCAATAATTGCACATATATATGAAGAACGTTATCTATGGCATATTTGTTGCTATGTTTTGACAACATATTTAATTGACTTATTTAATATATCCTCACTGATCAACAACACATTAACTAACATTTAACATGTCCTTCATTATTGACAAATCATATCCAAGAATAAAAAAAATGCTGCACATTAAAATCACTGATAAATCATGTTTGACTGTTGACAATATAAAATAATGTATATATTTCATAATCAAAGACATATTCAATCAACAGCTATTAAACATGTTCATTTATCAAACATATAGAAATATGCCGCATTTAAATGTTGATGATCTCAAAATTAAGGACAAAATATTGATCATTGAGGACATTAAACAAGTTTATAAAATGTCGAAAACTAACAAAGAATCTTAAAACAGCAAGAAAGATCGTGTAAAAATATTCATGATAAAAATGTAATCTTTACAAATGTAGACGTTCGGCACTTTTTTGTCAATGCACTGGTGGATGAGGGCCTCCCCACGCCATGCAGACTGTTTAAATAATGTAACCATACCTCATCATGCCGGTTACTGTGGGTGGATAAAGGTCACGACCATCGATGTAGGAGCATATAAGTACAGTGCAAGCATGGATTCTGCTACACTGCCTTCTGCTGCCCACCACATAGCCACGCAGCAGTCTATAATAAAGGCATTGTGCATGGCGATCACCAATCCAAGCACTATTCAGGCTCAACAACCCTGCTCGGCTCCTGGTATTTGACGACATCGGATGCGTTCTGGGTGATTTGATCATGTAGATTATACAACTATGAATGAGAGCCATTATTGTCAAAATATTTTCTTCATTAATACTATTTTTGTTGTACCCCCCCACCCCCGCACCTCCGATTTGCATGGTTAGTTATGTACAGTGTGAAACAAGTCCAATATAGATACATACACACATTACATACAGAGTCTCCCAAAAACGTAAAATGGGAATGTTACAGTTAACACAATTAGTGAAAAAAAATTAGTACATCACTCACCACCTTGATTTGGACGAGCCTTTTTTGCTGCAGGGAAAATACGATAATAAATGTTATCAAGGCAGAAAAAGTGGCACTCAAGAAAACTAGACATTTAGATCAATCACATAAGTGTAATAACATTTTCTGCTAGACATTGTTTAACACAATTCAAAGTTAGGATGGTAAATCCACTAAGATTGGTTTCTGAATTTTTTAACACCCCAACTTAACATTTGTGAGCAGCCCATCTTTATGATCAAGAGCCAATGACCTTGCCAATGTGAGCCAAGATTAAGCGAGGTGTGGAAAGCTGGGCAAGAACTCTTGACTAAAAGCTAAAGTAAGCTAAAATGGACGAAGCACACTGTGAAAAGTAATTCTCAGCTACGCAGATACTTACAGTAGTCTCTTATATGTAGAATTAGCCTGGCAAGCAGCGCCATGTACTCATCCTGTCCAAAAACACAACATTCATCCATCCATCAAAAGTGACTATAACGTTGACCACAAACCGGTATTACTCATAGACCAGCTGACAATAATTGAATGGCCATGAAATGAATTCAGCTGTCTGAGTGCTGAGCAGCTTCTCTGACCACTGACACGTCCAAGCCACGACCCTTTTGTTAGCCATGAAAGACAGCTGAAACCGATGAACGAGGTATGTGGTCAGTCTACAATTTACGGAACAAGGCACATATTGAAGATTTAACAAAGTAACTGCCTTTTGTTACCTGTAAGGCAATGGGCTGTATTTACCCATGTTAGAACTACACAAGGGAGATGTGGCTACCTAATCCATATGTGGGGAATTATGGAGTTAAATAATTGTGAAGTGCAATACATCACTCACATAACTGATTATTTCCCAATGCACACTTCTGTAGATTCAAATGTTATCCATGTGGAGACCCAGAATTCATCGAATGGCTTTCCAAACTCAAGCTACGTGTATTAAGTTGGCCCATTGCTTTTCAAAAGCCGTACAAAAAAGGGAAGAGTGGGATGTATTGCAGAGCGCTCACCCTGCTGCTGGCCTTCATGAATACATGGTTCTCCATCTCCTTACTGGACTTGGTTATTGGGTGGCCAGCCTGCCGTACTGCCTCCTCACTGCTCATACCACAATCAGGCGCACATACCACAATCAGGCACACAAACAAAATATCCTCTCCTCGCCAAACACGAGCACCTCGGGATTTCCCATTTACTATTAATAAAATGCATAACACAAAAATCAGAACGCCAGGGGGGTTTTTGAAGTTTTCTGTGCCAAATATCATGGCACAGGCCCATGTTGACCACGATAGGGTTAGCTATGACTTGCTTTTTGCAGGAAATGCTCATAAGACTCTTTTGATAAGCAGAGTAGAATACTAGGTCAATTCCATACAAAAAAAACAGGAAGAGCCATTTACCCAGTCAGCTGTGATTCATAAATACGGTAAGGTAATTTATTTTGGATGAGATTGTGTAGGTATGCCAATTTTCTTTTTCGAAAACCTATCACCAAGCGGCAGATCTGTCACAGGGATTGTTTGACCGTGACGCTCAGCACCAGTTAGTCAAGGACTACTTCAGACAGTAACTTGCCACTGAGCTGAGCCACGAATAAGAATCAAACTCAGCTTCCTGAGTTCATGGGAGTATGACATTGATAGCTCGTTTTGAAGCGATGGCCGGCCAAGAATCCAACTCGTCAGCCTCACAACTGTAATTGTACTTCATCCTGTCCACTGCAACCGAGCCGTATTACAGAAACGCACAATGAAACAATCTTAAAACTTTATAGCCAGTAAAGTAAACGTCTATGAACTCGGCGATTCCATTAAAACCAAGGCATATCAGAACCGGTCCTGGGCTCTAACCGCTTCTCCAATCCGCATCAGACGCGTACCTGTCAACCCCTTATCAGTGCCCTACCTCATTACAGACCAATTCAGACCTTATTGGTCACCCCGTGCCCTTATAAATCTCAACGTTCATCCTACAAAGTCCCACCACAAGGGAGAAACACAAACAAATAAGACAAAAATATATGATTATTTTTTTTGCCCGAAATGAAACGGCTGTACGGACCTGGAAACTCAATTTCTCCGCACAAGAACGACGAGGAAGCCGTATGGGTTGACACGGTATGCATACGTCAACAGTGTGAAGTATGATGAACTCGTGAAGTACCGTATATTGAACTTATGTTTGGCACTCATCCAGCAGTTAAACGACAATTGGTCTGTCATTCATCATCATCAGCCATGGTCAATCCACTGCTGATTGACAAGCCCCCCTCCCCCAAGCCTGTCACGACCGTACACTGCAATAAACACTCGACCCTAGCATCTCATTTCATCGCTCAATCTCGTCGGCCGCGTCCCATCCTCTCGGGAAGCGCTCCGATCTTTGCCTGCCACTCCGTGATTACCCTCCACCGCAAGTCATCGTCCCCGCTCACAATGAGCGCTCTTCCCAACGCTCTGAACCACACCATTAACCAGCGTTATTATTCTAGAATCTGCGTGTCCCTCTTTACGTCCCTCACCACCACCACCACCACCACCCCCGCTATACATGTGTCCCCTCACTGCCACCAGAAGCTGTGAGGGGGAGTCAAACCCGCACTTTGTAACTCTGAGAAGAGAAGAAGAGACGACCACCCCACCACCACCCCCAGACTGAGGGCCGCGGGATGCCTCCACAGCCGCCCGCGTCTCTCTCCATTACCTCCCCCCAGCCACCACCACCACCACGGCGTCCAACTCTACGCGACTCACATCTGCACCACGACCTTCTGGCGGAACGCCTGGCTGCGCCAGTCCGAATCGCCCATGCCGGAGTCCATCTCGACGACTTTTCAGCCAAAGCCGCTGAAGCCGCCGCCGCTGAAGCCTCCTCCACAAGTCCACACCGCCTCTGTAGGCAAGGCCTCTCTCGCGTGACGTCACCACGCACGGGAGGGGGGTGGGGCCGTGACGTAAATTACGTCATGACGCTGGAGCCGGTGCCGAGGTCGTGACGTCATGATGCTGGAGCCGAGGCCTTGACGTCATTACGCTGGAGCCTGTACCGAGGTCGTGACGTCATGATGCTGGAGCCGAGGCCGTGACATCATAACGCTGGAGCCGGTACCCAGCCCGGGACGTCTTGATGCTGGAGCCGAGGCCCTGACGTCATGACGCTGGAGCCGGTACCGAGGCCGTGACGTCATGACGCTGGAGCCGAGGACCTGACGTCATGACGCTGGAGCCGGTGTCGAGGCCGTGACGTCATGATGCTGGAGCCGGTGCCGAGGCCGTGACGTCACGACGCCAGCGAGAATTTCGGGGTGTGGGCTAGCGGCTCAGAATAAGTAATCTTTATAATTGTATCTGTGATAAAGGTGATTTAATTTGTATGTGTGTGGTGGGGGGGGGGTGTTAGATCGCGTAAATGTGTCGTAAAAGCCGCCACCACCCGACACAGCCAATTATTGTAGCAAGTTGTGCCACGTAAACAACACGTGGCCGCCAATTCGTGACAACTTCAGCACGCCGGAGTGTTGGAGAGTAAATCCACAACATTGGGGACGTTTCGCCGGTGGTTACAACTCGCTTCGTCAGGCGATAAGGCAGAATTGCGTATTCATTCATACTGGAGTAATGCGATGAGCCATACAGATCTTGTTTTAGAGTTTGTATTCTATTCTCCTGAAAAAAACATAACATTTATACCCAAGCACTTTTTAGTATTTGTGTATGTATATGTTATGGGTTTTTTTTAAGACAGCACAAGTTGTGAAATGTGGTATTCCCCCGAACAAAGCCGCGTCCTTCCTGCTAGTGAGCTATGAACATGAAACACACACAACAAACAGGACAAAAACACGATAGGAATGCAAAGAACTGTATAGGAAAGGAAAACATCACTTTTAATGCATATACATTCAGAAGCGACCTGGCCACAAATGATAGCTCAAAGAAGTGGCTCATCACGTGGAAATCTAAAGCAAGCAAAATAATCTAAATAATATAAACGCACGTTTCTAACCGTGGAGGGGGGGGGGGGAGAATCGGAGATCAAATCCACGCGACCACGGGGAGAGAGACACGCAAACTACAAATACACAGCAGGCGTCAGGGTCTGGATCGAACCCGAGACCTGCATACCGGGAGAGATAGTTAACATCTCGCTGTGGCTCTCCGACAGATGTCCCCGATTGATTCACGAACATGCAGATGTGCATGTGACACATATATACAGTACAGGGTGTTTCGATTTAAAGCTTTCGTGACTGCAGGGATTCATCTTCTTGGTTCTTTCGGTAAAGTCACGTAGAATGGAAATAATAAAATAAAACATAATAAAATAATTCTCACGACGTTTCGGCCACAACGCAAGCAGCCGTCCTCAGGTGAAGAACAGGTCTGTCGGGGAGAAAGACCTGGTCTTCAGACGCTGTCTCCCCGACAGACCTGGTCTTCACCTGAGGACGGCTGCTTGCGTTGTGGCCGAAACGTCGTGAGAATTATTTTATTATGTTTTATTTTATTATTTCCATTCTACGTGACTTTACCGAAAGAACCAAGAAGATATACAGGGTGCTTAACAAAAATGTGTTAACACTTCTGAGAATGTGCAACAATGCCACTAGAAATGTGCCTCCGGGCTCTGGAGACCACCTGGAGAAGATTCCAGGCACGCGTTGACAATGCTGGCGAACAAGTGGAGACTGACTTGTTGAAGCTATTAACATACGTTTGTTATTTTACAGGGTATTATCCCCTCTTTTTCCATGAAAAACGATAGTCCCATATAAGTAAGAATAGGGTTTCCCCTTTCTGGCAATAACACAGCTGTGTTAAGATGTTGAAAACACCAAACTGAAACCTTTTGCAAGAAATCATGTCTGCATTAACCACAATACTTGTGGTGAAAATACAAACAAAAAACATACTCTGACAGAATATGCATTGTCCTTGAAACTGATTGGTCCACACCAGAGACAGCTTTCTTTAGAGCCTCGTCTCAAACAGCGTTAGACCAGAGGACGCCAAAAGGCGAATAGCACAAAGATAATGCCACCATCAGGACATTGAGAGCTCGGGGTGAGCAACTACATCATGGGTCCTCCTTTGCCAGTATCAAAATATAGCATTAGGTTTTCCCCTTTCTGGCAATAAAACAGGCGTTAAGATGTTAAAACACCAAACTGAAACCTTTCAGTTTAAATAGAGCATGTTTTTTTTTTGTATTTTCACAAGCATTTGTGGTTATTGCTGACATGATTCCTTGCAAAAGGTTTCAGTTTGGTGTTTTAACATCTTAACACCTGTTGTATTGGCAGAAAGGGGAAAACCTATTCTTATATTTTGATATTGGCAAAGGAGGTCCCATGATGTAACTCCCATATAAGTGTTAACATTTTTTAAAGCACCCTGTATATACAGTATAGTGAAATGAATTGCAGTTGTATCAGTCCACAGCTTGGGGGGGGAAATGGGGAGTTGTTTGACCATATTTCACCGTACTGGTCAGTGTGTGTTCGTGAAGTGGTGGGAGCACGGCCTAGATTATTATAGAGGCTGTTGTCCTGGCATTCACCAAGGCCGTTGTTTTTATTGGAATGTTTCAATAAAAAAACGAATTTGATTAATGGTAACTCATTGAAAATTGAGAAATGCTGGATTACAGATTAATTTAATCACTATAGCACAACCACAAACCCCTACGCAGCAATTTAACACGCAATAAACCCCATTCAAAATGCTCCAGATGTCACACCTGTAGAGGCAACTGCTGCTCGGTCACAGTACAATGACATGGAAATCCTCTGGACCAGATGAAATAACCATTCACATCTAAATGTAGCGGGTACACTTCTCGCCAAAATGTGCCGAAAAGTCAGGGTTCCAGTCCTCTCCACCACCGCCTCCGTCACAGATCCCTCCTTCATACAGTTATCTTCATCCACAGCTCTCTCTCTCCCCTCAATCCTGATATCCTCCCTTATCCCCACAGCCCCCTCTCCCATTCCCTCCCCCTCATCCCCAGCCACCAATCCCCTATCTTCGTACTTCGGACCGTGTCTCATCTCCGGCCACCAATCCCCTCTTCATACCTGGGGGTTACTCCCAATGAACTCTGGGAAGGGATTGACAGCAGTGTGTGTAGAGGGCATGGAATCACGATGTTGTGGGGACCGTTATAAATACCTCAATTAAATCTGCATGAAAAAGGGGGGGCCAAAAACGATTAAAATAATTACAGACCCATTAGTCACTTCTGACACACAACTTGTTCCGGAAGATCAGAACAAAATAATGGTCCATTTAGAGACCATAACAACAATTTGGTTTAAGAAAAGGGTTCTCTACCATTGACTACATTCTAGCAGATTAAAAGAAAAAGACAATTGAATATTATCTACCATTGTGCTTAGCCTTTGTAGACCGAGTAAAACACAGACCACTTTTTCTTAAAACGTATTAGCTTAGATCTCTCTTGTGCAAGACAACCTTTTTCTCATTCGCCACGATGCATGGCGCTTTATCATAGCGTGGTGGACAAGGGCCCCGGTGCAAAGTGTGAAATGGGGACCCCTCCCCCGTCCAATTTCCCCTCTCTTCATAGCCCACCGCCCGTACACTCGATAGCCACGCCACTGGCACGGCGTGTATTTTTGGGCAGCATGACACGAGACCTCGGCTCTGCGTCATAATTGGTTTTATTGACGAGCAGCAGCAGAGGACAGAGCTTCGCAGTCCAGCACAAAAACAAAGGCATCCGTCGAGGACAATTTGCACCTGCACAACAAATTCACAGCCCAAGCAATACCGAGGGGCGAGCCGCCTTCCCACTTCAAAAACCCACAGCAGCATTTCCCAAATGAGCATTTCTGAAGAGTTCACAACATAGAGGAGTTTCGTTCACATTGGTTAAGAATGTAATAACTGAATAACAATAGTTCAATTAGTGAGAACCGCAAAAATCTATTCCACAAGCAGGAATCTCTTCTGGATGAGTGCATATGAAGGATCTTTAATTTAAACAAATCACTTCACAATAGAAAAACAATCAAGTATATGATACCCTCTCGTAAAAAGATAATCTGCACTTGCGTTAGCAACCCACAAAGACTTTTCACAAGACAAGTGTTACTCGAATGCATTAATTGGCACACAGCTATCACGAACACCTGCTCAAATTGGCTCTTCCTCAAGCTCAGAATTCAGAAGCCACTGCCTTTTTATTTTACTGCACCTCCCATTTCTACCTTACCAAAGTGAACACAACAATTTCTTTAACAGCTACACCTTTTTAACCGACACTGCAAGTGTGCTTCGACAATAAACGTTATTTTTATTTGGCCCTTTTACAATCAATCCTATGTTTTTTTTTTCTCTCCTGGATGAAGCTTGCAAACTCAATAGTTGTGGTTTGCGATGAAGAGAGATTCCGATGCAGCACTGCCAGATGATCCGGCAGGGACGTACTTGCCCTGGGCAGCCAACCCGTTAATCTGTGGAGAATCAACAAAGGGAAAGGTGAACATGTAGTTAGACCGCATAGCAGAAATGTCATACCCGTATTCACAACGCTTATTATCAAGATCACACAATTACAGTCATTTTATTGACTTTCCTTAATATTACACATTATCCTACAGCAACATCGACAGTTTTTCACACTGGTCATCATCAACATTAACATGGACGACTTGAATGAAAGGTGGTGGGTGGTTTACGGTGGACAACGACTTGTGAAAAAGTGCGTGTAAGAGCGGCGCGTGGAATTACGGCGGCGCGCTTCTCAAACTCCTTCTTGGCAGCGGGGATGTTTGCAGGAGCTCCGGCCCAGGCCTTGAGCACGGAGGCCTGCAGAGCTCGGCCGTACGAGAAGCTCAGGGCCCACGGCCGTTCCAGAGGCACCTGATTGATGGCATTGAGGTTGAGCGAGGCATCCTCTTCACTCTGCCCACCCGACAGGAAGGTGATGCCTGCCGAGAGAGATACCCGTCATTCGTCTCCATCGCTCACCATCACCGTCATCATGCGCACTTTACGAGCGTTTCCCTTGCGGCGACTTAGCCCATCGAGATCCACTGCAGCCTAACAGGAATATTTCTAGCATCGGAAATTAAAATGGCGATTTGGTAACAAGTCGAAGCTAAAACGTGCACTTTCAATGCAATATTGGGACTCAATCACAAATTTTCCCAATCTCATCAGATCTTGCTAGCTGAGCAGGGTGGTTTCCTGGAGTTCCCAGGATAGGTGACCATCATACACAAGGTTATTTATAGGCTCCTGCGGGGCTATATGGCGGGCAGCCCGGGGGCAGCGCAGCAAACTCGATCGTTGTACTTGCATACTTTTTATGCTCCCACAAGCTAGTTTGACAATTTCCCTTGCGATGTACTCTAACATAAGGAGGCGGAGATGGAATTCGAGTCCTGAATCGGTAAGACAACAGTGACACCTCCGACAAGACATCTCGAGCAAGTAAATGCATGAGCACCGGTCTAGCACACCAACCGCACTGCCACACTCGCGCGACGCTTACCAGGCACCGCGCTGGGCACAGTGCGACGGAGTGCAGTGACAGTTGCCATGGCGACCTCCTGTGGTGAACAGCGGATCTTGGAAGCCTGGCCAGCCGTCACCATGTTTGGCTTGAGCAAGCTGCCCTCCAGGTACACGTGGTGGTCGCTCAGCGCCTTGTAGGTGGCTGCCAAGACCTGGTGAATGAGCAGCGATAAAACGGGGAAGCTTGACGGACGATGTTGAAAACTACCGCGCAGGTTTTCATGGCTTTGGTACTATCACTCTCGGACGTGTTTGAGTTGTATTGCCGTGAGATTCTTCATGAGCCGATGGAGCAGCTAACATCCTCACATATAAAATAGCCAGCTGCTGTTGGCGTTTAACAGAATCCGAATCGGAATCTTTATTTCTACTGGAGGAATCTGATGAGCTATTCAGCTCTTTTTCACTGATGTCCAGTAGGACAATTCAGTTACTGAAGAAGCTTGCAGAGAAAAACGTCAGGGCAAACAACATGAGCGCATAGGATAGCTATGCCGTAAACATATTTACAATCGTTTCTTTCCCCCATCGCCCAGTTAAAATTACTCACAAATAGTCATGTGGGTAAATTACTTGTTTGAGCTCGGTGACCGAGCATGGGTGGCATCGGCTCTGGTGCAAGAAATGCAATGGGGCACCCTGTCTAATTGCTTTCAGACAACTCGAGTTGGCTCCAAATTCAAGTTGGGTGCCAATTCGGACAGGAGCTCAAATGCGCTGGGCTGATTTCACATTGAGGGCTGGGCTGAACTCCCTCCATCCAAATTTGAGTCAAGCGGAAATTACGCTTCTGGGAAACAGCTGGCGAACTCGCGTGAAAACTCAAGCCACTTGGAAAACCATGAAAAATGGCACCAATTCTGACCAACTTAAATTCCAGGAGAAATCAGGCAGACTCGAGTTAGAAACAAGGTGAGATTTGCTTGTTCTGTTGATGCAAGCAAAATATTTTTTGTAAATATATACCACGAAACAGAACGGGTGTTGAGCAAACATAGCCGATGGTCATGGATTGGAAACACACGGGCGTACTCACCTTCTCGGTGACGTACTGGCACGTCTTGAGGTCGTGGTCTCCATCGGGGAGGATCTCAGGCTCCACGATCGGCACCAGTCCATTCTATTATAAACGCCACAAAAGGTCATGGCATTATTACAAAAATTAAAAAACAATAACTTGCAGATCTTCGTCAACCACTGGATGTAGACATCCCCAACGCTGTGTTGGTCAGTGCAGGATTTATTAAAGAGGGTGCACGGGTGCCAAGTCCCAGTTCAGAAATCCCTTTTGCCAATGATGATAGCCGTGGCCGGGAGTTGAAATTGAGTAACCAAATTTCGATTTAAAGCTTTCGTGACTGCAGGGATTCATCTTCTTGGTTCTTTCGGTAAAGTCACGTAGAAGGGAAGTAATAAAATAATAAAAATAAAACATAATAAAATAATTCTCACGACGTTTCGGCCACAACGCAAGCAGCCGTCCTCAGGTTAAGAATTTATTATGTTTTATTTTTATTATTTTATTACTTCCCTTCTACGTGACTTTACCGAAAGAACCAAGAAAATTGAGTAACCAGTTTCATAGCGCAGTGGGCTGGGCACTACCCAACCGCCTCAAGATTGACAAAATCATATTTAATCAATAATCCGTTATGGTAAAGTGATCGCCAATTATATTGATGCTACTATCCTTTTCCATCACTTCCTTCTGCTGCTACAGGTGTGCTGCTGCAGTCTCCCACTTTCTGGTCTTCTCCTTAGTCACCAGCCTATGGGTGCTCCTCCAATTCCTACCTAGGTAACCCCTAGCCATTCACAGTGGTGCACAAGTACAAATAACAACACAGTCACATTTGTCAGTAACACCGCGTGTGGCCTTAGAGGGTGAGGTATAATTTAGACAACGTCTTTTGGGAAGGGCCACCGCCCAAAACGTCGCCTATTGTGTACTTTTTCTCTTTGGCAGCACTCCCGATGAATGTGTTGAGATGTATTTTTTTCTTCATCCCATCCTCACGGTTAATACCGCCGTGGTGGTGGTGGCGGCGGCAGTGGCGCCATCACCTGCTGGCAGATGCTGGCGTAGCGTGCCAGCACGTTGGCGTTCTCGGCGATGGCGAGTGCCGAGGGCGTGTTCTTGGAGATCTTGAGCACGCAGCGCCACTTGGCGAAGTCGGCGCCGTCCTTCTTGTAGCGGGCGCAGCGCTCTGCCAGCCCGTCTAGGCCCTGCGTGGTGCTTTCCCCATCGGTGCCTGCCAGGGGCACGGTGCCCTTGTCAACCTGCAACAAAAGCGAGCAGTGCCCAGTGTTGTAATGATGATGACTGTAATAATGGCCTTCCTGGGTGGGTACAAATCCGGGTTTCACTCACCTGGCACCAAACTGGCTTTCCAAGTACAAGGTGTTAATCGTCTCAGTCGGGTCAACTATGACTACGTAAAAAACACAACTCCAAGTTAAATTCTATTTTACAAACGTCATCTGGCTAAATTCCAGTTCTGAGAAGAGTCAATGGGAGGTGCTGGTTCTCGGGGCTGGTTAATTAGTGCTATGGTCGCAGCTAGAACCCGATGGACTTGTGCATTCCACCCACATCTCCCCCCCCCCCCCCCCCCGTCGACACCCCTCCTTCCCCCATCGCTACTCGTCTGTTCCTTTCAGATTCGTCGCTGGTGCTCACAAGCGCGGAGGCAGCCGCCGCCCGCTCACCTTGATCCCCACGACGATGCCACGGTCCTTGATGAGCTTGACGAAGGGCGTGCCGTCGTCCGTCTTCTGGTAGAGCGTCTCCTCGTAGAAGATGATGCCGCCGATGGCCTTGGTCACGCTGGGGTCGCTGCTGAACAGCAGCTGCCGGTAGACGCGGCGGTTCTCCTCCACGTTCTCCACCTTTATGGCCGAGAGTCGCTTGCCCATGGTGCCTTGGATGGCAACAACCAGTGGTGGCGGCATGAGGCATGTACGGCAAGCCCTCGCTTAAACGCGTGGTCTTAACGCAACGTGTTTTCACTATAACGCGGTTCTTCGACGATGGAACACTTTTCGCACAACGCGAAAGCGCCCGTTAGAACTCTGAGCGGCCAACGACGAACTAGTTTCTTGAGCTGCACGGCTGAGCGGTACAGTGATACAGCTTGCAGAATGATACAGTACGCGCTGGCGTAGCACAAATTATTTGTCCCGCCATCTGTGTGTGTGCACATCGTATCTCGCCAAACTTTAGCGTTACGTTACTGATGGGGAAATCGTTTTCGTTTAACCCATTTTTCTCTTAACGTGGCACTATCCAGGAACACATCTACAGCGTTAAAAGAGGACTTTCTGTTTAAGCAAACCCAGATAAAGTCTAAAGCCGAGCTGAAAGAACCCTAGATGCATTTAAAAAATATATCTGGGCACATAAAATATCAGCTAAAATTAAAATCCTAATAGACATAACTGATATCAAAAAGGCAATTATTAGCTCTCAAATTATCTCACTCCATCTCAGTTTTTGTCTACAATTATTTAATCCGACTACATCCATGCATTTTGTCCATATCTCTTCTGTCATATAAAGGATGTACAAGTTGAAAGAGGAGGCTAACAAAAATAGACTGCAAAGGGAAGAGATTATGTCATTCAGCAGCATTCGTTTAAGCAGGACAACTCTGGAATGATTTCGATCTTCTGGATTGCATCAGAAAAGTTGGGCTAGATAAGTATGGCAGATCAACAAGCCAGTAAAAGCTAAAACATACGTTGTTTTACGTGGATATACAGAAGGGTGATTTAACCATTTAATTGCCCATGATACTTCATTACAGCACATGAGGGTTTTTTTTTATTCTAGAATTTGACAGCAAATTTTTTTATTATTTGAGTATTTTTTTAAAGGTGGCAGTGGTCACAGGTTCTCACCCACATAAGCATGACCAAAGAAAAGCTCCAAAAATCTGATTATGGTCCTAGATTACCAGGTAACATTGAACCATGAACACACATGGTGTCTGTTACTCATTGTTTGAGCTATTGTGCAGATAATGAATTGCAAACATTAGATTATCTAACCTCTAAGATAAATACACTGTTCTTTTTTAAATGTAGGAGGGGTGGACAAACATTCTTGAAAGCTGAATTACTACAGAAATCGCACAAACTTTTCGTCAAGAATTTGAACGTTGTTCATATTAATTCTCTAATTATACTAATATACATTTCCTAGCAAGCCAGTCTCAGAACTATTTTATTTAATGAAGTGTCCTGCAATGGAAAGTCTATAAAATGTCTTAATTTGAAGGGCAATCTTTACATTGTTTGCTAGTCGCACCCCATTACATATGAATGAGTGCATTGGTGTTAGCAGCTGCTTTAAGAATCTACATCAATAAGGTGCAGCAGACACCAGAAAGTCAACAGCACATGCTACTTTGTGACATTTCAACACAAGTCGCAATGTCTGGCAGATATAATTATTACATTTCCAATTACGTCTCAATAATCATATTGTATGATTAATTGAGAGCCATCACTGTATATATATACACACACACACATATGCTGTACATACATAAATGCCACCACCAACTGAGATGCAGACAAAAGTCGGTTTAGGATTCCGGCTCGAAGAACTACACGAGGGCACATTTAGCACTTTTAAGATTAAATATAGGCGAGACCCACAGAGCCAGACTAATCCAGTTTAGGCTTCTGAGGGTATCACAACATGAAGGGACAAAACTATGGAGCCCAGTATATAAAGTGGGGTAAAAGCAGCATTTCAGTGGGAAATGGTCCAATATAATTTCACACGCGAGCCTCAATTACTCGTGGTGATCCGATTTCACAAACATTTTGGCTGCACTTAAATGGGGCAGTTTTTCTGTCGACGATTCCCCCCCGAGTGAAAAATCTCACCGGTGGACTCATCAGCGGCGAGGATTCCTTTCCCGTTCGAGACGATGCGCTGTGCAATCTCCGCCAGCTCCTTCTTCTGCTCAGGGGTGAGCGCAGGGTACAGGGCCGCCATTTCTGCTCACACACACACGTACAAAAGACAAAAGATCCTCCATATAGCCATAACAGACTGTTGCGGAAAGTGCTATTAGCGAGCATCTGTGAAGGCCGGCACGGTACACGAGGGGGTGGGTGGCCAGCACTACACCCGTCTGCCTTTCTCTCCCCGCACCTGATACTCATTTGAGGCCGAGCCGAACTAGGGGAGGCCCAGTTCAGATAATCGTTACTGGTGTTGGTCTTGAGCAGGAATCCAACTCGGGTCGCCGGGTTCGTAGGCGCAGCACATTAACCACGATGCTACCGCTCCCCCCACACACACACGTGCCTAGAGAACTGCCATTTCTGCACACAAGACACACAAAACAAACACATATGCGAGCATAGGGCCGCCATTTCTACACGGACACAAAACTAACACAAAGACACATGTGTCCATGGCTGCCGTTTCTGCAGACATGCGTACACACCTACAGGAGTACATTTTCTGCGTCGCTCATTCGCTCTGTGCCCGAGAAAGTGGGTACAATGCGGATCCTGAGTTAACAAGAGCATTACCCTCCTGTGAAACACTAGTTTGCTTTCGCCACTCCAAATTGAGAAAAACAAGATTTGCCAAGCCTCAAACTGGAAAAGTTTCAAAATTCTGCTGTCATTTATCTGTGCTCTACAAGTTATGGCCTAAGGTCATTTAGACTAGAGCCGGCTACAGGAGGAAAATAAGGGACGCCTACTCAGCTCAAACGAAAGAGGATGTTTTACGCGTTGTATCTACGCATCATTACTCAATCCTATCAGTCGCAATGCAAGTGGCTGTGGATGTTTAATGACCAGGTTTTAACTCCCTTTCTGTTCTTGTTTTAATTACTAAAAAAACATATATTAATCCAGAACCCGTGACCTTTGGACTGGATTTTGACATTCCCAACAACATATTTTCTTCCGCGTCAGCGCACGGAAAACACAGCAGGCCAGGGGTTGTGCAAAGCTGGCAGAAGGGTACACACCGCCATCCAAGCACGCACACTCAGTTACTCAAAAAGGCACCCGCGTCGACTTATTCAACCAAAACTAGCGGAGAGGCAATCGATGACCACTGTAATATTCACCCCGCATTATATTAAAAAAAAAATCGCCGAAAGCACAAAATAACCAACGTGTCCCAGTTACGTCAGGATTTGGAGATAACCTGAATCAACCCGGTGAGCACTCCTACCGCAAGCCAGTTGTCTCAGAGCAAGCAAACAAAAGCAGAGATGTCACGTCAAGCGCCGCTCCAAAGGCAGTTCTTGCAACTGCAGCAGAGTAAACACATTTCCACTGGCGTAGAAACCAGTGCACTAAGCCCCCCTCTGAAATCCTGACCTCAGCAGTTTACTCGCCACTGAAATTCATTCTGTCCAGGGAGATTAACCAACACGTAATGACTCCCCCCTCCCCCCAGTTTGTGTGGTTTTTTCTCTTTTACCAAAAATGAGTTGTTGAGAGGCTTCGGTTTAGCAAAGTTTGTGTAAGGTTCAAATTGTACGATTAATACGCTTGCAGGGAAAATGAAACGTCACGGTTTAACTAGAACCCTGCTTGCACCCACTGCCAAAACACCCAATCCCCCCCCCCCCCCCCCACAGGATACCTAGATTTCCCTTCATTGTACAAAACTATTCCCAATTCTCAACTTGTGAAAATGAGACAAATCTGAAAGGAAGTTAAGGAAATTTTTAAAACCCAAAAGATTGTTTTGATGTACATTTTCAGTCGTGGGTTTTTTTTTCACCAAGGTCATACATGGGTCATCCCTCGTTCATTCTGGCAACAATGAGCCCTTGTTAAACTTTGCAAGACAAGTTATGCAAGCACTGTGATTCGATGATGGGCTAATTACAATTTACCATCGTGTTAGATGTTGGTTAGGATCCATTTTTCATCAGTTCAATATTAGAGAGGAGGTGAACTTACATTTTCAAAATAATATTTGGTTCGGTATACGTATTATTTTGCAAATTAAATTGCAAAAACTGTGCTAGCCATGCTGGAAATCTGGTACACTACAGAGCCAATCGGTTGCACAATCTGCTGTGGTCAAGCACTACCAAACACCCCACATTGAAAGCAACAACTGCTTTCAATGCGTTTACTCTCCTACACGGTTCAGATTATTCAGGTCAAAGTGCACAAACATCCATGAGCAAAAAAGCAGAAAACAACCTCTCCAAATCCACCCTGCTGCCACTCCTACCACCACACCCACCCATCCACCCTCTCCGCGCCCACTTACGGCCACAGCAACACACACCACCATCAACAACCGACCCTACAAAAAATACCACGATGCCCTTCAGCCTTCGGCGCATGAGGCTGCATGCATTACAATGCCTTGTTTGTTTGTGCCCTCCATGGGTCACCGTCATCATCGTCATTATCGAGTGGGCTGTGCAATCTGGAAAACACGTGACGAGGGACTTGACACGTAGCCAGATTAATTATTTACCAGGATCCACATCAGAGGTCGCAACCGGGTACCCGATATCCGTACCCTACCCGGCTACCCGTACCCAGCCGGGTACGGGTACCCGTTTGCGACCCTGGTGCGGCCGGGTACGGGTAGGCCGTGAGTCACTGGTGAGTAACCGTTTGTCACTCATTTCCCAACGTCTTGTCTCTTCTGCAACATGGCTTCATCCCAGAGGTCGCAATCGGGTACCCGTACCCTACCCGATACCCGGCCGGGTACGGGTACCCCGGGTATCGGGTAGGGTACGGGTACCCGATTGAGACCCTGGTGCGGCCGGGTACGAGTACGGGTAAGGAATCAAAACCCGTTTGTGACCTCCGATCCACATCTCCCCATAGGGAGGGCGAGACGATGACCGACCGCTTAATTATGCAGAAGAGCAGGATCTAACGTGCACGAGTTCAGCCGTGGAAGTGCATGTTCCAGGAGGACCTCGTCAAGGACAACTTTTGTTAAACTTTTAACCAGAGTGGACACGCCTGATTGACAAATGGGGGGGAGGGGAGTATGGCAGCTGGAGGGTCGGTAAGTAAAGGTTGAAGGTCAGGAGACCAAAATTCCACAAAAGTCCACCCACCCACTTATTTACAGGGCCATCACAAACGATTCCAGTGTCCACACAATGAAAGGTTTCCAACACCACAGGGGCAGGCTGAAGCAGTACCCTCTACGTGCAGGAGCTGTCACAGAGGGGGCTGTGGTTCAGTTCAACACATCGGGTTGAACCACAACCCACCTCCCTCAGCTACAACATCTCTTCCTGTGCAATGTCGATTTTGGTTTAGTTCATTTAATGTTCACTTGGGGTAGGGCCTATTGAGCTAAGGGTGACCCCCCTGGGGTGAAAGGGTGGGGGGGTAAAAAGGAAAATACAGAAATAGGCAAAAAATATATATTACAGCGAATTGAACAGGAAAATCCACCGCACTAGCAGCAGCTACTTGAAACCAGCCATTCAGAGGGCACTGAATTGAACAAACACAGGATGGGGAGAGCTTCATCCAGCAGTGGATTAACAAAGATTGTACAGTATTAAATTTGTATTAGTATGTTACATTCACGAGTTCAGTAACTATTATAAACCACGTTTTACACCATTAAGTCGAAAGCTTAAAACAGAAAATATTCGTCACACCCTAATAGCAACCCATGAATTGTGACAATTCTCAGAATCCCTCAGGAGTTTTGAAGCGGGCGGGCATCTTTGTTCCACCCCTACCGGGGAGAGGGGGGGTGGACGTCGAATTGCCAACGAGCTTGCGGTGCGATTGCTAAAATATCCTGCAGGCGCCCAGTCTTGCAGGAGGGTCGTAAAGGGGGGGAGAAGAGGCAGCGAGAGAGGGACGACCTCTAATTATGACCTCCCACCCGACTTCGGTATTTCACTTGCAGCAGCTCAGTTTGGGGTTGCCAACCTACGTCCCTTGTAAGAGAGTTGCATTCGTTGCATGCGGTGCGCGAGCATTCTCTCTGTACTACGCCATGATGACGAAGAGCTTTATTAAGAAAAGACAATGATTCGGTGTTAAAGACGGCCATTTGAGGCGTGGGGTGGAGCAGTGGCGCGGTGGTTAGCACACCGCACTGCAAAACCCGGTGACCCGAGTTCGATTTGCAAGTGATGTCACAACAGGCTTTAAGCCTCATCCCCCCTCACCAACTTCCACCGAGCAGCGTGGTGAAGTATGATCATGGTCAAACAATCGACACGACCGACACTGCACAAGGGAGGCCTTTCGATTTAAAGCTTCGTGACTGCAGGGATTCATCTTCTTGGTTCTTTCGATAAAGTCACGTAGAATGGAAATAATAAAATAATAAAAATAAAACATAATAAATTAATTCTCACGACGTTTCGGCCACAACGCAAGCAGCCGTCCTCTCTTCTTCTCGACAGACCTGTTCTCCACCTGATGACGGCTGCTTGCGTTGTGGCCGAAACGTCGTGAGAATTATTTTATTATGTTTTATTTTTATTATTTAATTATTTCCATTCTACGTGACTTTACCGAAAGAACCAAGAAGAAGGGAGGCCTTCTTCCAGCAGCAGCAAGACTGCTAAAGGGCTGTAAATTTGGGATATTATTTCGAAGGAATGCACAAAATGGGAAACTCCTCACCACCGTACTGTATTTACTTAGCATTCTCAAACTTTGTAATCTGTCAACTTACTACGGCCATGTATCATTATCTCGTAAAACCTGTCTTGCCTCTGACCACGTTGGCACCTTCACCGAAACCAAACCCCGATTACGTTGGACTGAAGCAACCTGCCACCAACCACCACCACTATCAAACACTGCACTGTACTGCAGTCGGATAAAAACAAATCTATGGTTTTCATTTATACAGCTAGTCAGACAAAAGGATTTGCAATAGCAGTTGTCAGTTCTAGTGTCTTATTTACGCGTTGCACAATTGCACTTTTCGGTTGACACGGCGATGTTTAAGGAGAGGCGTTACACCTACAGGTGGGTAATCTCATCGAGATGCGCGTCTATTGGCATCAAACATCTGGGTGGACCACACACGTGAAGGCAAACGTCACGTGGAACAAAACCAGCGACGGCAATCGTGAACATTACACGGGCGCTGCCAATTTGTAATAAAACCAGAAGAGTTAGAATACTGATGTTACTGGCCAATGGGCATATCATGATGAACTCCCCTGCTCCTACCCAGCGAGTTGGTGAATCGTTACAGAACTCGATTCTTTTGTTGTTGTTGTTGCTTCCCCCCACTTGCACAGCTGTTCAGTGCACATTTGTTTTGCATTATTGTTGTTGTTAAATACGGCCATCAATTCTCTTGCAACGTATCCCAAATGGAACCGTATCTTTACAAGGCCCCTAACCAGCTCCTTGAGGGGGGGGGGACGTGTCACACAGCGAGCCAGCAGTTGTTGACGAAGTCTGGGAGCTGGGCTTGTGTGGAGGAAGGGGGCGAGATCAGATCAGAGCTGGCTTGAACAGGTTTTTTTTTTATAAGTGGCACGGACAAATAAGCGCCCAATCAAAGTGAACTTATCGAAAAGCTTCCCAAGTCAATGTGGCACAGATAACAAAAATAATTAAACGGTGCATTCTGGGATGGCATGCATTGCGTAAACTGTGTCAGCATCAAGATATAAGTTGGATACACCGGATCAGCAGTTAGCACGAGAACACACACCACTACCAAACACAAGTCTGTCCACATTTTTCCCGTCTTGCTCCCCACCCCCCAGCGTATCGTCCCAATTTGTCATTCCCATGCATTGCATGTAATGTTGAACTCGGCTCCACTGCAAGCACTACAAAGAAAACGTAAAGCACTTTTCAAAACGTTAAATAAGTATAACCCGTAAAAACAAAGTTTTTCACTATAAATCCTTTATATGCGTGGCAGCGAACTTAATATAAAGGATTTAAAAATATATTCGCCTGTGGAGGACGCGGGGATCGATCCCGCGACCTTTGGCATGGGAAGCGAGGGCGCTACCAACTGCGCTACTCCGCCACGGCCTGTGGAGGGGTTACGCTCTGGGCTCTTACACTCTGACGTTCAGCCAAAGCCATGAATGCGTTCTATTTGAATATATGTAAAATATTTTTTGTTTGCCTAAAAAGTGTAAAATTTTGGGAATTTTTTTTCACGAACAATAATTGTCTGGCACAACGAGTCTGTGTAGAAAATGTCAGCTCGATTGGATCACGGGAAGTGGGTTAAAAAACGACCGAAAGATTTGCATGGTCCTAAGCAAGCAAGCACGCGAACTTAATATAAAGGATTTTAAAAAATCAATCTCGTCCTTTCAAACACCACAATACTTCACGGTTTAACAACGCCACTTAAAACAGAGATGTTATCGTCTGATGGACTAAACACGTATTTACATGCTTATTATTCATTGCTTTGTGGGTATGAGTTGGCACACATCCCAAGAGAAGATTGCGTTGCACTGTTTGCTCATACCTGCTGATCACCCGACTTTAAGATTCTTTTGCAAGAAACTTGAATTCTGCCTCTGCTGCTGCTGCTTTGCTCGCCGTTCCTGCCCCGAGTGGAACGTGGCCACGTCAATGCCCCCTCTTGAACCCTGCCTCCCTCTCCCATTGGCTGCAAGCAGAGATCCTCATCCACGCGTGCACATCAACCACCCCCCACCACCACCACTGCCCCCCCCCTTGGGGTGGTTCAGACGCACAATGACGATTGGCTAAAGAAGAGGTGCGGGCAGGGGGAGGCGACCGGCAGAGAAAGCGCCACCCAGCAAAGTTATTGCGAAAGCTTTTAGCAAGAGGAGGGGGGAGAATTTTTTTTATTAAATGAAAGACAACGAGAACGCGCGTTGCAGCAGGCGGGTGGCCAATGTGATGGATGTTGAACCCGAGGAGGGGCTCAGGCGGTGAACGAGAGGGGAGATTTGATCCGGGGGCAGCAGCAGCAGAGGCAATGTGGACTTGCCCAACTTCGCATTGAAAACGAATTAAGAGTTTAATCCGGTGCAGCAGACAATGCATATCGTCTTACCAGATGAACGCGAGTGCGCGCGTTTGACCTTCATTAAAACTATCAGGAGCTCATCTTCTTGGTTCTTTCGCTAAAGTCACGTAGAAGGGAAATAATAAAATTATAAAAATAAAACATAATAAAATACATTTCTCTCGACGTTTCGGCCACAACACAAGCAGCCGTCCTCAGGTGAATTGTATTTTATTATGTTTTATGTTTATTATTTTATTATTTCCCTTCTACGTGACTTTACCGAAAGAACCAAGAAGATGAACCCCTGCAGTCACAAAAGCTTTAAATAGAAACTATCAGGGGCGTTTGCAGGCTACTACATTGCACTTTTTTTTATATTTGTGATAGCCACCAAAATGCAACGCCTCGCTTTGTGACAGCCATGGGATGTGGACTGCTTCGTATTCCACCCAAATCAAATTCCTTTTCATCGTCGATACGCTCATTCAGTTTGTCAAATCGAGCATTTGATTATTCGCGTGTATGTGGTCAGTGGTGGAAGATGTTATCTCAAGGCGCTTTACCAATGATTTTTTTTATGTCTACGTTATGGCGAAATGAGGGAGGAGGTGAGGGTGGCGAGGGGAGTCAGGGAAGAGAAACACGAGAGAGAGGAGGGCTCGGCACAACCCAGCCCAGCACCAACCAGAGGTCGCAACCGGGTACCCGATACCCGTACCCTACCCAATACCCGGCTACCCGTACCGGGCCGGGTACGGGTAGCCGTTTGCGACCCTGCTGCGACCGGGTACGGGTAGGCCGTGAGTCACTGGTGAGTAACCGTTTGTCACTCATTTCGGGTAGCGTACGGGTACGGGTAGGGAACGGGTACCCATTTGCGACCCTGGTGCGGCCGGGTACGGGTAAGGAATCAAAACCCGTTTGCGACCTCTGGTACCAACGACATTAAGAACGACCCCCAGGAGCAGCCGAGGTGCCACGGTGTGGCTAGGAGATGTCAACTCCCTCCCATGGTATGCAGGAGGTCGTGGGTTCGATCCCGACCCGGACACCAGCTGAATATATTTGGGATTTGCACACTCTCGCTGTGGTCGCGTGGATTTATCTCCAGGTCCTCCAAGTTTTCCCCCTCCACATTTAGAAATATGATAAGCCACTTTGTTGAGCTATCCTTTGTGGTTAGGTCGCTTCTGAAAAGAGCTGTATATAGCCTCAGTGGGTCTTACCTGGTAAAATAGAAAATAATTAAGAAAAATAAATAGCCAGGGCAGCACCAATAATTCCTAGCAGGGCAGTTGCATTAGAGATGGGGGCGAGGGAGGCATCACCAATGAGTTGCAACTGCGGTACATCTACCAAAGACAAGTTAGTTGGTATAAGTACGCCTCCTGTCCTGTTCCCCTTGACAATTGTGAGATGCAGTCACGGCTAAGACGATCTATGTATCTGGCATTATAATGCACACACGTCATCTGGCTTACACATGCACAGGGAGCAGTGGCGTCAGATCAAACCAAGTCTTTTCGATTATCTGAAAACAGTACACGAGTGTTGGCTGAGTGACCGATTTAAATTCTGGAGGTCTTCGCGGGAAGGGCTATAAAATTAAAAATTGTGTAGTGTAATACAAGTTTAGGATTTAAAAAATATCTACTTATATTAGAGTCCAAGTTGTTCTTATCAATGGACCTGTGGCCGGAAATATGGGACGAAGAGAAATGTGGGGGTGGGGTTTGGATTGTTATAATTATACCCCCGGCCACTGGATTAATTGTCAGAATAATGTGAAGAAGAACTTTGGACGAGTGCCCGACAGAATAGACGAAAGACGTGTTTTTGTTTTACCAACGTACAAGTCCTCGTTTATCTTACACGGGCCGCCAACATGTACAGCCCAGAGGGCAACTGGTTGTGCTCAGCCTACATTTCAGTTTAAAGTTCGAAAGGGCTTTAAAGTGTCATGCTAAACTTAAAAAATATATATATATACACTGTATATACAATTCCCATCATCAGTGAAACAAGTTGAGTGTGACACCGAAGCCAAAAGGTTGGTAAAATTCTGTTATATCAGAATCATTATTTATACTAGAGGAATCCGATGAGTTATAAAGCTCTTTATCACAGATGTCAAGGTCGGGGCAGGTCAGAATCTAACAACAATACAAAAGCATGATGATAGGAGTGCAAAGTATAGGAAAGTATAAGTTGTTAGTGCCATACATATGAACCTCATGTATGTTTTCTGAACATCCTACAACTTGTTTGCAGCTATTACTTTTAGGCTGGCATCGGTGTACACGTAGGGCCTTTTTGTCAATCCACTGCTGGATGAGGGCCCCCCCCCTCCCCACACCATACTTCACCATCCTGGTCCGTGTGGGTTGGTGAAGTTGTGAAACAGATATGGAAGTGAGAATAGGTTTTCCCCTTTTTTCTGGCAACAAAACAGGTGTTAATATGTTAAAAACACCAAACTGAAAACCTTTACAAGGAATCATGCTTGCATTAACCACAATGCCTGCAACGGGGTGCGAGCGAGCACCCTGGCTGCCTGTAGTCTGCAACCTGCTCAGGAGGACATTTACACTCGGGACCCCCCCCCCCCCCAACGCCAAACAGCAAGCCACTGCGCAATAGTCAATCCACAAATACAAACGCATGGACCCAGCCTCTCTGCGTCGGCGGATTGAAGAAATATGACGCGGTTGAGCGACGTTTCTCAGGTCGAAATATGCAGGGTTTTTCACGACGTCGTTTGCAAGCGTCTGGAAGGGGCAGGAGAATAAAAAAAGACTGGCGAAAGTTCACTCGGAGATTTCTAATCTAATGCGTAGCGGCAGGCGTTCCGGCCATAGACCGCCAGGCGGCGTTCATCCGTTTTGGCCGACTCGTGCAGAGGACAGGACAACGACGGATAATGTGGTGCAATTTCGCTGCAATGCTCACAACATGGCACAGACTAATTGCATGTTTAACACCCCCCCCCCCCCCCCCACACACACACTTTGCACAAGAGTTTAACACGCAGAAGTGTGGGTCACCATATCTACACCTCTATATAAAGGAACGAAACAGGTTGACTTCTCCACAAATCTGGCTGGTCACCTGATGAAGCTAGTTGTAATTACTGGCGAAACGTCGTACTCTGATTGTAAATGTTGTGGCTTGGCTCGCCACACGAATTGGCACGTTCTGTTTACGTGACAACCCTTACTAATTGGCTGTGTCGGGTGGCGGCGGGTTTTAACGACACATTTATATATTTACGCGATCGAACCCAAAAATAAAGACCCTCCATTACGGATAATTGCGTGTTATTTCCTGGAGCCTGGTATGTTGCACAGTCGTGTCCATCTCGCGCAGCCTTGTTCGTCAACTCACTGCTGGACGAAAGCTTCACCCATGCCTTGTTTGGCCATGGGGGTTGTTTGGCCACATACTTTCACCACGCCGGTCACAGTGCGGGGTTGTTAACGCAGCACAGTGCCTATACTTTTACAATGGGTCTGCATTCAAAAGTCGCAGCAAATACAACCCGAGGCGTGCCGGTCTCGAAGCGATAACGCGCCGCTGACGTTTAAACCCACGAGGCGAGATTACAACCTCGTTTGTCACGCCGACGGTTCATCCCAGAACTGTTTGATGCTGTTTGGTGTCCCCCCGAGAAAAAAATAAAAAACTAAATTAGTAAATTCATTTCCTGCCTAAAATATTTTAAAATTCACTAACACATGGGATGGACTTCTTTTTTTTACAATGTCTAATAGTGTATTGTATTACATTGCTCTGTTTTTCCCTTAATAACTTTTCTTGTTTCATTGTATGTAATGGCAGAGATTAGGGATTAATAAAGTACAACCATAACCACACTCATATAAACAGAAATCTATTTTATAGCGATATATTGGGTGGGGACATTTTGAGTATATTTGAATATTGGGGGGAGATGTGTCCCCCAAATATATATTACACTGGTCAACATCTCATTTTTATGTTATCGGCATACCCCATTTTCATTGATTTTACCCGAAATTAACTCCGTCACTTACGATTGCAAGTTGTTGCGAGTCAGTGACTGCTTTAGTGTTAAAATATGGTGCTGTATTTTTAGGATAGTGTGGTTATAATATCATTTTATGTAGATATACACATTTATTTAATTTTTCTTCTGCAGTTTTTGTTGAAAATGCAATATTTCATATCTCAAAAACCTCATGTGATAGACAAAAACTGATGCCAGATTTGGAATCGGCACCCCAAAATTACATTCAAACCGTTGGAATACCTTATGCCAGAAAAAGTGTGTTGACCAGTGTAATAATTACGGCCTTGCTGAGAGGGCAGTTGAAGGCCCGGACACGAGGAGGGTTCGGCAAAGGCAGGGAATGTTTTTTTGTTTTGTTGCCCAATTCTTCCACGGCCACCAGAGGGCGAACCAAACATTTACATCGGCAAGAAGAAGCCCGCGTCTGTGTGCCAACAAATCCGAATCAAACCTACGCGTGAATGGTTTTCCCAAAGCCGTAAGCCTTGTTGGGAATTACGATTTCCTTAACATCCACTTTGCCAGATAAAGAGATCACACGGTAGAGGTACTGATAACCAGGGTTAGAATATGAACCAGGGTTATACGAAAT